GTTTTTGTAATATTTCAAATTAATATTTCTTGGCTTATATAAATAACTCTAACTCTAGAAAGAATTCTATCATATTAGGATTAAAGTTTATTATATTATTATATTTTAATTTTAGCTAATAGTTAAAAGATTATTATTTTAAAAAAAAGTGGGCGGGTTGCTTGTATGGGCGGGCTGCTTGTGAACCACGTTAGTACGTTTTGTACTAATACTAATCTTTTCAGCAAGGGGGGTAGAAAAATTAGGCCTGTAGCCGTAGTACCAGCTAATCTGTCATCAAAATCCATGCCAAGAGCGACACCAATTGTTTCGATGGGCCTCGGGCGTGCGCGGTCAGCATTTTTATTAGCCTGAGCCTGACCGTGGTCCGGCGGTCAAATTGTCGCGGGGCACTTCCTACACCCCTGATCAACGATGACCAATCTGCTGGAATCAGCTCATACACATCTGCAAAGAGCCGTGCAGCATCTCGAGCTTTCAAAATTGCAATACGAAAGCGCTAAAGCCACATACCAAAGCGCAAAGGCTGTTTATGAAGCCGTTGAAACCTCGCATCTCAATTCGGAAAGCACGTCGCCAGCTACCTTCCTCTGCGATTCTTGTGCCGCTATCTCAATTTCAAACATCTTCGACACGGCTTCGACAAGAAAGGCGTATCGACGCAAAGTAGGGGATCTCTTTCAAGCCGTAGAGGGATTGTCCTCATGCGTGCTCTGCAAATTCCTGATAGAGGCTTTTCAACTGGGAGATCCTGAACACTCGGAACGGCTTCACGCTCATCTAAAGCCAAGAGTTACTGCTATTTATTTCACGTCGGACCCTGATGGCAGACCATGGTCTAGGAAGGCAGGTGTTGACACAAACCTGTCCCCCTGCCCTTTCGTCTGGCTCCAGACCGGTCCACCGACAGGGACGGGCGAGCCACACATATGCATCAGCTTTGAACCAAGATCCGGCGCTGATGCGAAACCGTGACCCCTTGAACAAATGAGATATCCTCGTTGGAGAGAGCCTCTCGAAGCGTTCAATGGCTCAATAAACTACGACCTTGTGAAATCTTGGCTCAAAAAATGTGATGCCCAGCATGGCAGCGCATGTAACGGCGAGGAGGCTGTTCCCAGCCAGAGTATTTTCCTCATTGATACTAAAACAAGAAGAGTAGTTAGTGGCCAAAAGCATTACCGGTATGTTGCTTTGAGCTATGTGTGGGGCAAAGGTCCAGATGCTCAGTTTTCATGTTTCTATTCGCGAAATCAGTCACAGACACCAATGAGTGCGGCATCTCCTGTTTGTACTGACCTACCCACTCTGATTCCGCAAACAATGGAGGACGCTATTACATTTGTCAAACATATTGGTGAAAGGTATCTCTGGGTAGATTTGTTCTGCATTGATCAAAGTAATAAGGAGCAGAAGCAAAGTCAGATCAATTCGATGGATCGAATATACGCTTCTGCTTACTTGACTTTAGTTTGTCTAGATGGCCGAGATGCTGATTGGGGATTGCCCGGCATCTCCAGGCCACTGCTGCAAACGATTCAGCCGACAGTTACGCTAGTTGCAGGTCGTCTCACGGCTACATTCATCTACTCTGTATGGGATAACAACGGCAATTCGGTCTGGGACACTCGCGCTTGGACATTGCAGGAGAGGCTGCTATCTCGACGGTGTATCATGTTTGCCAACACATACATTTCAATGACATGTCAGGCAGAATTCTTTCACGATTCTGTGAGCACTAGCGTTGAGGCGAGTGGAATCAAAAGCTGGTTAGGCGATGATTACTTCAGAGAGGACGGCTCGGGAATCGACCTAAACGAGGAGGAATGGGACTTCAAGACGTTTGACGCGCTGGTCTCTGTGTTCTCTGGCCGCACATTGACTGTAGAGTCTGATGTGCTCAATGCATGTCAAGGTTCTTTGAACAAAATCAGTAGAAAAACGACATACAGCTTTTGCTTCGGTCTGCCCATGGATGACATCCTCCGAGCCTTGCTTTGGAAGCCGCACCATGACCTCATACTAAGCAGACGACTAGGATTTCCTTCATGGAGCTGGCTTGGATGGTCTGGAAGAATTGAATATGCTTATTGGATCGCCGACATGTCAGCCTACCACGCGGACGATTCCAAAGCAGAAGTGCCACCGATCAAAAGACCACGATTATCTGTGTTCAAGCCTTCGACTCCACACCCAGAAAGCGCGAAAGCGTTGAGTTATGGGACCGAGCCTGATGGGAAGCCATCAATTCGATTCTCGTCAACTGTAGCCAAGTTCAGACTCCGCATGGTACGGCCAGATGGTGTAGCCCATCGGAACTTACCACCCAATTCCCAGCAGCCCAAAAACGCGGTTGGCGACCATTGGACTATGTTGAATTCCGTGGGCAATGCAATTCAGAATCTAGCGGGTGAGTATCCCATCTTCGAGCATACCGATGTTTTTTTCCGCCTCAAACCAGAGTATTCTACCGTCTTACTTCAGCAAGAGAGCAAAGCTGATTTGCTTTTCATCCATCATTGGCCTCGGATTCGAGATTCTAAAGACTCTAACAAATGGCTGTACGACATGGTAAGCGCATTGCTCATCATTCGGAACGAAGATAATACGGCATGGCGTTTAACATCCGTTCTAATGAAAGCTGAAGAATGGCATGCTCAAAACCCGCTTCCCGAGATAATCATCTTAATTTCGGCATCAAGATGCCTTTGACGCAACAAACGAGCTGGTCTCGCATAGGAGGACAGGTGATTCTCGGCTCTGCTGGACGGTAAGTTTCACGATGGACCTGCTGATTGATGGTGGTAACAACAACCTGGCACTCGAGCAGTCACACCTGGAGCAAGCGGCCGGCTATGACCGCCTTCTAAATGAAAGGAATCCCCGGGTGTAGGAGGTCGAGGATATAGACCAGTGACGACCCAGAATGGCAACACAACTGGATGCGGTCCAGGAGCTGGACGATCACCAATGTGTGGGATAACTCGGGGGGATCAAGAGACTGGACACGCCCACTGAAAAGGCGCTCTTGTATATGGAATAGTAAATACTGATAGGCATCCTTAATCCGGCGTAAAATTAAAAATAGAGAAGAAAAAAACCGCTGTGAATTTGTTTAATTAAGTAGTTTTTGCTTGAGTTTTGTTGACTTATATAATTGCTGTGAGATCCGGGCTTATAACTGATGAACTATGCTGACTTATTAATAGATAGTATGTAAATAACAAGTTGTTCTATCTATTCAGTACGAAAGGAGAGCGCATTTATACATACAAAGTTGCTATGTCAAGTGAAATAGCGCGAAACGCAGATACCAACAATACATGCAGGGCTTAGACAAAACGCGTACCAATTCTGTAACAAAACGCTGGTGACACACGTAGCAAAATAGCGCAAACTGTATTTTTGAGTGCAACAGCTGGCTCTTCAGCAGGTACTGGCAATCCGTGAAAAGGTGCATACTATTGCTCTCCGGCAGCTGGATGAAGTGTCTCATTTATCCGTCAAAGATCCTGCTTATTCCTCTTAGACGGCGAAGGTGTATCCAGATAGAACATTAACTTCACGATATCCGGAAATAATGGTTCTCATATCTTTTTATTAGCCATAACAAGGTTCAGCAACCTACCAAGTATCACTGGTCATAACTTTCGCGCGGACAGTCCTGCAGTCAAGACCCTCAAGATGAGGGTTTGGTAGGTGTTCACACACTTTCTGCGGATAATGCCCTGGATGAGCTGCTACATTGCCCTCAATATATCCAATAGAAAGACAGTGGAGCGATCGTGCAGCTATACAACCACGTTTCGCGCGGAGAGCAGGTAAGACTTTAAGTAGGATTGCTCATGGTGGTATCATGTCCTTCGTTTTCTGCTGGGGGATGCGCAAGTAGGTGTACTACCATAGATCCGAGGTCAGCCTTTTCTCCTACAGCCGAACAAAAAGACACAAGAACAAGAAAGGTGCTGCCCCCAAAGAAATATAAATACCTACGGCGTTCATGATATTGGCGGAGAAAACCAAGCCCAGCGTGCTGATTCACAACTTTGAGACCATCAGGCTCGTACTGTACGAACCACGCCGGAAAATTCCAATCGACATCCGCGGCATCATTGTTCAATACTTGCTCGAAGAACAATTCAGATACTGTGACAATGCAGGGGGTTCAGTCATTAGGGCACGGTAGACGTTTTGCAAGAACCCGGCTATATGAGTGTGGTGGCAAAGAAAGTTTACTTGCATTCTATGCATATGGAGACTGAATGGCAACCGCTGAGAAGGATCATACGATGTTCCATTGTCGAAGGGTCGAGGATCAGGGACATTTGGGCGTCGGGTAGGTAGAAATCGCGAATCATGAGATCACCAGCGGCACTGAACAGAGATTAGCCTCGCTTGTTCTCTGGCAGGGAAGGTAATTCGTGACAGTATGGAAAGAGGGAGAAAATGGTGCGTTTCGTACCGCTGGAAGACGATAATCTCTCCGGTTCTAGGGAAGCGGAGATAGTGAATAAGAAGCTCCTGCTGAATTGCGTGAAGGCTAGAGAAAAACGTCTCCGCTGCTGGGGGCCTAGTTGAGCAATTCAAGTATTGGGTACTGAGGGGTGCAGACAGTCAGGAGACATACCCGAGATGCTAACATGTTCTAGCTCCACACCTGTACATAACACCTGCTCTGGTTCTCTGTTGTCTCTTTCCGCAGTGCATGGTACGTCGGACATGCGTATTAGACGCGAATTGGTCACATAATCGAATTGTGTATTCCGGTCAACTTCCTTGCTGTCAGTAAGTCTGCAATACATTTCAGTAACACAACTCACTATTGAGGATAAGGCGGCAGATGTGAGAGTCTGTTTCCGCTGCTTCATTAGTAGAGTTGAGATTGAGTATAAGCTCGCAATGAGGCTGATGGAGGAGTCCATGGTTTGCAGGGCTTTCCAGAGTATCAATTTTATCGTGCGGCATGGATCTATAATGTAATAACTGCACTACATCGACAGAGTGTTGCGTGTACCGATGGCCATTCGAGATGAATGATGTGGATTTAATTTGTCCTTTCGATTGTTTTGAGCTGTGAAAAGCCTGCCGTCAGTCCCCGGCAAAGGCGCTTCCTGAGAAGACGAAGCATATTCCACGGACCTTTTCAAGTCTAGTATCGAAACATTCTGTTCTCCTTCGATCATTGAAAGGTATGTTAGCATTGAACTAATGCCACTACTCAGGCACTGCCGTCCTTGAGCAAGGGCGAGCTGATTGATATGCGATTCGAACTCGCCAAGTGCTATTCAGTTCACAGCAATCAATGCTTGTTCGTTTTCAAGTTTCATATTTGCTTACCGGAAGGCATGAACCCCGTGAGAAGTAAAGAGATGGGTCCAGGTAGGCTGCTAGAAGCGACGAACAGCTGCCAGACAGGTTGGCGGCCTGCTACTCTGACGATAAGGCTGACGGTTAGTACTATAGAGTGAAAAAAGTTAGCGTTCACACATCTAAACATGTTAGAGTCAAGCGAGCAGTATTGAACCATACGTGCACACCCCAGCTGCCGCTCATGAAGGTCTCCAGAAGAGTAATCATCAGGCCGGCGGCAAACGCAACGAAAAATCCTCGAACCGCCAGCACGCCCCCAGCTCTTAAGCCATTCCGGATGGAACGAAGCTTTTGGACAGAGAAGGGATTTGTTGGCACTGCTTGACGTCTCTGCGTAGACGGTGAAAGTCAAGCTTGGGTCTGACTCTGTATTCGGCTGGCTAACCCTTGATGGGATCTGTGCTGTAGGATCTGTTCTCGGGCGTTGCTGATTGGCAACGAACCACTGGTATATCTCTTCGAGCATATCGTGTATGCCATGAACTTGCTTCCCCATTTTCTGACTCTGAGAGCTGGAAAGGACAGATTAGACGGGTATGCTTTGGACTGGTACGACGAGTCATGCTTGGACGGACTTATTCAGAGCGTTAACTGCCATATTCAACCCGTTGACATGGACTGTCAGCGTGCTCCTTAACTTGTCTAGATTTCCGCCTTCTGTCGTCCATCGGATCTTCTTCCAGTTCTGCAGTAGATCCTTGCGCCATCTCTGGCGGTAGCTCAGCTCCGTCTCCCTCCGCGTCTCGTCCAGCTCCATATACTTGTCGACTAGTGTTTCCAGATGTTTGAGCACTCCTTTGCAATTGTGCATCATGTGTGCTAGGACATTATCTCGGAGCGACGGTTCGTCCCCGGCACTGCTCGCCATAGCCTCCAAGATTCTTGCGCTATCATTTCGCGGTACCACATGCTGGCCGAGGAGCTCCAACGCTTTGCTCAGGTTGTAGAGCAAATCTTGAACTTCTATGAATTCCGAAGGTGCTGATCTACGCCCCGAGCTGAATGCTTGCCCTAGTCGAAGGGCAACTGTCGAGAGAATGACAGCGTCACCAATGCCGAAGGAGAAAGCCATGCCTGGGTTGACTACTGCTGCAGAATACAGAAGACGGAAGACGGAATCATCTTGATGGTGGAGAGGCTCTAGGGACTCGGTAAGAAGACACAAGGCTGCAAGTCTGTAGCCAAGACGAGGCGTCCCTACCTGGCTTAAAAGCAATCGGTCAGAACCCAACCTGACATCAGCCTCTCCCAATATCATCAATAACCCACAGGTCTACAACCCGTTCAACCAATCAGTCCCAAACTGCCAGCGTATTCAGCTGTTAACTACAGATGATGCATCGTGCGACAAGCTGTTGTGCTACTGGTTGTCGCACTACATGCCGTTGCAGTACCAGTTGTAATAATATAACCTGGAGGGCACGAAACTGGGCTCTCTGAGCTGGAAGAGTGGCCCAGAATCTGACCCCTATAAGGAGCTCAGGGTAGAATTCAGTCGATGCTCAGGGGCTGCTCAGGGCTGCTCAGGGCTGCTTACTCATCGCTCAGGTTATACTCACGTGTGCTCAGGTCTCACAGCGGAAATGGAATTAGGAGAGGTCAAGATTCGGGTCTGGATGTTGCGGTATCCTGCACTGAATCTTGACCACGCCTTGGAACCCAGTTGGGTTGGCCATTTTTGCTGCCTGACTCAGGAATTAGTTACACGGCTCAACTTCGGCTCAGCCGCTGCTCAGGCTGCACCGCCACTACTCCCGCTTCTCACCCTGGTACTGCTCAGGGGTCTCAGTCTTGCTTCACTCATACTCCGTCCGACTTCTGAGCGTGTGTTATTATCAACAAACTATATCCCGCCTGCAAATGCCGATTCTTAAACTTTTTTGTCATTTTTTAATTGATAGTCTGATGGTTTACTTTTGGGACCTCCAGGGAAGAGAGAGGGCACATTAAATCCTCCTGTATAGTACATCAAGAATTACGTGTTATACTCATCTTATAATATGATGATTTTCAATGATGTCAACGTTTAATTTAACTTTATTTCCTCTCTTCTTTTAAGATCTTTTTTCTATCTGGACACAAGGACAATGAAACAGATATCATCCTTCCTCGCAATATCCTTGCTACCTGTTGAAAATGTTGCAGCTGTCGGCGCTCATACTGCGTCAAATCCAACATCTTCGAAGAGATTGTGTTGCCTGTGGATTTGGTTTGCAGCATCCTAGGCCGTTTTTGAAGGTTTCAATTGAACGTTTTTGACGCTAGAGCACGAACACTTTGCACAGGATTCGTTCGGCAGCTCGGAGAGCTTCTCATTTAGGTCGGTCAGTGGAACTTCCTTTACTAGGCGGCGCCATGTGCCCTCCCCATGGGCATCGTACGCCCGCCGTTGCAGCTGGTAGACGCCATCCTGGAACCACCGGTCCATGCGAGAAGACTTGTTCCGGACGATGAAGAACTTGAGGAGGACGAGGTCGATAATCGTGACAACGCATGTGAAGGTGCAAACGAAAGCGAGTGCGAAGACGTTGATGTTGCTGGGCACGATGTCAAAACTTGAAACATGCGCAAGGCTTTCTGTCTACTCACACGAAGCCACCAGGGTTTCTCATCTTCTGTTTGCCACAAAGCTTTTGTTTACCTTCCGTCAAGTTGGTCTTCATCAAAGGCGCCACATCAGGTTGGCGAACAGATTTGCCGATTGCATACTCAACCATGCTCATTTGTAGGTTGGCCCAGAGGAAGGACTCCCAACCTACTACTTCCTGGACCATTGGTCGTCCGGCAAAGATGCCAAGAATCCAAAATTTCCGGCCAAATTTTGCGCCTTTAGGTCAAGGTTTGCGCTTTGTATGTCCGTCTCAAACATGATGCCCACAAGCTCTTGCATTGCGGCCACCTGTACGCCGCTGGCATTGGGAATGTCTTCGAACGGCAGACTTGGTATGCCTGTGAGATTGCTACAAGAGTCCGGTGTACCAGCCGCTTGTGCATGACAGAACTGATACTGGAGTAGGTGAGTTAGTCATAGGTTCATGGTGCAGAAGAGGCGGACGAAGAGGACCAAGGGAAGAAGTGAACTTACTTGTAAGGTGCATCCGAGTGCAGAGATTGGAAAGTCGGAGTTGTAGAAAGTAACATTACCTCTCTGCTGGTCACTGACTTCGTCCTCGCGCCTATGTGCTGCAAAGAAGGGGTCATTGATGGGCTGGCGATAGCGCATCTCGTTTTTCGCAATGAAAATAGCAACAAGGTCGGCATCGCTACTCTGCATTTCTAGAGGCGGGATGAAAGTGCTTGAGATGGCATTGTTGTATGCATCCCAAAATTTGATCGCGATGCTGCAGAAACAATCAGCTGACGTTTGGTTGGCGAGTAATCACGAGGGATTCGCGCTCACTTTGTAGTATACCCAGAGGTGAGATTCGCCATCAATAAACTCAGGGCGTAAGTGAAGTTCGCGTGCCCGCCTGCGGATCCAAGATGCACTATCATAGCCTGCTCGTTTGGCAGTGGTGGCCGAGAAAGATTGGGGATAGAAGACATATTGACGACCGAGACCCGATTTTCCACCTCCAAAACTGCACATGTCGTTGTCTTGCGAACCTTCACTCGATCTGTCGGATCCAGATTCAACCCAAACGCATCATTCAGGTCGACCAGTCCTGAGTCGAGTCGAATCGCGGGTTTCTCAAAACCTTTACATAAAGCCGGAGTGAACGGACAGTCAAGACGTTCCTGGGTAAAAGAGATACTAGGACGTGTGAATGACTTGCAGCGTTCGGGAGTGATGGAATAGTTCTGATAACACTCACGGACGTAAGCGCGGCTGGACTCTCGGACCTTGTCCATATGCTGCCTGTATGGATTCAGAGCTGTATCATTGGTCTGCTGGGCGTTCATGATGGCATCCAGGTTCCAAGGTCCACAGTGGGGCTTATCGACACAAACTTCGATGTCGGTACTCTTTACCACGAGTGACACAAGGACTCCAATTAAGACAGTTCCGAGTGTGAATATTAGCCCAAGAAGGATTTGAAGCCATGAGCGAAGAAAAGCTTTATCAGTCTTTCTCCACATCCACCAAAGCTTGATCCACTCTAAGAGCAGCGCACATGGTGTTGGCAACGTTCGAAGAAATGCTTGCTGTTAGCGAAAGAGTCCATCGGCCGCACGACCATCGGATCGAAGTTGATGGTAAGAGAAGGTAATCAGATTCCACAAACGACTTACACCCAATGTGGTAAGGAGGGCAAGGAGAGCGACGACCAGGTTACCAGTCTGTGTATCCGTGGTTATGATTCTGCCCATGACCGGGCCAAGCTCAATGTTGATCCAAAGGCCACGTTTGACATACTCTGCTGGAAGCTGTGACATCGCGAAAAATGGAGTATCAAAAAAATAAGAAGTGCAGAAGTGAAACAGACCAGATGCGGGTGCTTCGATGGGAAGGACGTATTGCATAGGCTCAAAGACAGGAGATCCGACCGGCAACCGCTATTAACAGAGTGTAAAGGATATCGTTTTTCAAACATTGTGCAAGGGATCTGCTGGACGCACATATATAACAGTTGTGCATTTCGTGTGGTAGTGGGGTGAGTCTTCACCCTGGGCAAGTTTGCACTCACTCTGACAGTACACATACCGGCCCCCAAGTTTTTCCTAAGAGACATCCGGATACAATCATGCTGGGAGAACCTGCTGTCCTCTGTGCCTTAGTGACAGAGGCTGACAATGAATAGGCAGGCAGTGGACGACTCTCAATGGATATAAGTAAGCGAGGAAAAACAATGTCCACGGACGAGCTAGCATAGTCTTGACAAGGGCCGGCGGCTAGGGCATCCTATAAAAGACAATTAAGGATCAGTTGTAAATGAGTTGAATAATTCTACTTATTCAGCTCATTGTTACAAGTCTGTCTACTATCTCATTTTGCAAGATTCTTGATGGATATACGTGATAGATCAGAGAAATAATATAGCCCAAGACGGTATCCTCTTGTGCATTATTTGGGCGTTAGTAGTGGATTGAAGGCCCTTCTGCATGAGAGATAGTGACACCCTTGATGGCGGGGTGCCAGTATAAGGAGGCCATTTCTCGACCGAACCATCGTCATAAGCCCTTGCTTCAGTTGCTGACAATGATTGTCGGTTCACCTGAGCGTTCCTAACATGTTCCTCTTCCTATTCCTCTCCTTGATTCACGCAGACCGTAGCGTCCTATTTTTATCATGTAGGAAGGTTGGTGCCTAATGGGATATGTTGGCAGAAGGTGCCCCATTTCGCACCTTAAAATGGGAGGGGTACTGTGCGTTGCATAAGAGTTGCGAATTCAATTCGCAACTCTTATGCAACGCACAGTAATCTGGTGGTGCGAGTTGTCTCTACGCTGTTTGGTGGCTTGGCGGAGGAGCCACAGGCCGGGGGGCACTGCATGGCATTCCTACAACGTGCAGCGCCAAGAGGCGGGAATGGTACGTAAGTTGATTCATTGCCTTCTCGCCCTGCATGATGCCTATAATTCCTACTGGAGTTGGAACTAGGCTGGCTGGAGTGAGTTGAGGGCAAACAGAGAGATATATATCCCCTTCTTAAACTCCGCCAAACACTGTTTCGTGAATACCCTTATTCTCATCGCTCTGGCTCGAGATGCCTTGTTGGTGAATATACATATATGATCCGTTAAAGAGATTGAGGCCGAGGCCGATGGAGCGGCTGGCATTCGAGTTGGTAGATGTCATTGACGGGTAAGCTCCTCTCTGCCTACTCTGTGTTTCCCTATCACTAATACTTCCAGCACTCATGTCGACCGTATGTTCTCCTACGGCAATGGAGAATTCAAGCACCACAGTGATGATGCTCCTACCACATATACCTTCTCTGTATCCAGGGATTGGACACAAGGAAGACTCGAAATCACAATATGGAGCCCATTCCTACGGCATATGCTGACCTTTACGAACCCGTACGTCCTGGGTCTTGTGGAAATCGTGCAGCAGTACCCTGTTCTCAAAGCAAATTTATCTGAACTGGAAGATCCAAACTCGCCATGCCTGTTTGCTGAGAACGCTTCCGAGTTGAGGCTTCTGACGGAGGACTTCCTTCTTGACCGATCCATGTTCAACATTGTCAACCTCCAATATCTCTATGATCAAGGCATCGTTCCTGAAACCTACTGGCGAGATATGCGACACCGGTCAACCATGAACGATCTGATGCTGGTAGATGAGGCTTTCAAAGCACATTGTCATGATCACACCGAAGGAATTGAGGAAAGCAATTGGCATTCACTGTTTCAAATCGCGTCAGACTCTCCCTGTCAGGTTGACGAAGTTGGTGGCTATGCCACTCACGCACAGTTAGAGAACGAAATTGAGTGCTCCAGCAAACTCCCTTCGAAGAAACATCACATTCTTAAGGCCATTGAATTAGCGACAAGCGAACTGAGACTTTGGGCCGATGGCTGGGAAGTCCCGGTCGACGTTGAAGACTGCTTGATATGGACACTGAACTACTCGTGTCAAATTAGCCAGGCAGAGCTAGATTTTCTGGAACGCGTCACGGCCGACTGCCAAATTTCATCCCGGATCAAGTCCCTACTTTACCACTCAGGTTTGCAGGATACTTTCGGCTTACAATTCAGCAATATCATTTTTGATGATTTGGGGGAGGGCAAACTTACATCGATGAGCCTGTCACTAAATGCTGGATTCCGCGTCATACGCCGTCCCTCAACAGACGAGAAGCAACGCCTCATAACAAGCAGGCTTCATGCAGCGTTCAAGGCAGAAGACCAAAATTTTCGTGACAAGGTCAGGAAAGTTATACTAGATCAGCAGGCAGCTAGCTACCAGAAAGCTGCTGGTATGAATGCGAATCCCTATGGCTTTATCTCCCGGCGGTATTACAGGGCTTGGGACAAAGGTGTAGCAACAATCCGCCGATTCTTGAAAGGCAAGCGCCCAGATACCCTTGAGCAAATCTATCGTCTCCTCCAGGTGGCGTATGTCATGGGTTCACAAGATCCGAGCAATCCAGATTTTCGAGCGAGCTTTGTTAATGACCTAGATCGGTGGAGGATCATAGTCCCGGAACACAGCCTCCCTAGGTTCGATGTTATTGCTGAAGCGGTCTGGAAAAAGTCGTTTGAGGAAGTCGAATCCAATGCACCACAAGAGTATGGCTCTAACGATACCTTGATCCAACTTCAGCAGCTACTTTCCCAATTAATCTCTCGTTTCCCGCTGGTCGATACCCCCGAAAAGAATGATCAACAACAAGAGTGTCCCACGCCGGAATACGACCAAAGCTTCAAAGGCGCTACAGACACCAACCAAACACTAGAGCTGAGAATCCTAGACGGATTGGAAAACCCGCGAGCATATGCGGATGTCAAAAAATTGCCAATCTGTTCGAGACCTCCTGAGCCTGTCATCGTGCTGATGATGGCTGGAGCTATCTTTGGCTTCATTTTTTCATTTCTATTGAGTAAGGACACACTCCTCTTATCAAATTTCCAATGGGTATGTCACACTGTATATTTGTTCAGATCACTTACACAAAATCAAAAATTCAGTTCTTGACTCATTCAATTTACCAAATCTACGCGCCGAGTTGGTCACTGGACGGAATCTCTACTTTGCGAATTTCGAAGAGCGAAACCTCTTTACCCTTTCCTTGTACGTCAAGCTTTCGTCTTCTTCGTTTTGGCAGAGAGAACAAAAGACCCAGAACAACGGCGGATTGGCCTCCCAAAGCTTCGTGCAATCAAACCAGGAAACCCTGGGCTCGAACTTGACCATCTCTGAGGCATCAAGAGTGGTTCAAAGGTAAGATGCCACCACCCGGCCCCTTCTCCCCTCCCCCCGCAAAAAGCCATCTGTTTTGTGTCCAATCGGCTGACGTTCTCGGCCTATTGTAGTACTATGCCAACTACCACAACCCGACCGCGGGAGCCCCACGAGGGAAGAGCTCAAGCTAACGTCGATCAACCAAGGTGCCGTCGGTGTGACAAGCAATTCTCGAACATCGGCAATTGGAACAGACACGTGCGTTTTGATTGTAAGCGGAAAGCACAGTTCCCATGCCGAAATCCTGGCTGCAGGATGGTCGCCACCAGGAAGGCGTACCGAGACAAGCATGAGACGTTGAAATGTCCTCAGAGGTTGATTGCCAGCCAGGAGACTTGGCTCTTAGATGCGTATCGGACGGCTTGCACGCCAAATTTGATCTTCTAGAGGAGGCTTATCTCCTACCCTCGTCTTTCATTTCGGATGGAAAAAGGAAACGCAAGGCATCATTTATTTTATTAAAAAGAGAAGAACAGCCATACAGAATACAAAAATACTATTGCGAGAATTCGTAGAACAGAGAAAGATTGTAGAAAGAGACGAATCATGCATCGATGGAATGCCCGCTGTGACCCTATTGGCGGGGTCGCAGGCGTCACGTGAGCCAATGTAAAATGGGTGTGGCGTTGGGGTTGCCAAATGGGGGTGCCCGGAACAGAGCTTTCATCCACCAGATTCCAGTCGCTGTCTTGCTTTACTCTTCTCGTCAGAGGCAGCCACCATCATTCTGCGCTTCGTACTGTGTTGGCTGGCCATTGCTCCTGACAATATTATCATACTCTGTGATAATCAGACGGCAAACTCTTACATTTCTTAGACTATTATAACAAGGCGGTCTTATTACTTCACACATCAAGCCTTTTATGGATATGTTGAGAACAGCCTCTGTTCGATGGCTACTCCCCAGCACAAAGGTCTCTATCGATGAGCTTATAATTCGCTGTTACGGCTAGAGCTTGTTGGTTCAGTCATCGCGCTACGTGCTGTTGTAGTACTAGAAGATCATACCACAACTGTGTCAAATCGGCTACATAAATTGGCGAGCTAGGAATCGGACTGGTAAGGCTGTACGCCGCCCACGGGCTTCCATCCACTCTCCTCTTCCTGAAGAAAATGGCGAACTACAGGAGCAGATATGGCGCAAGAAGTGAGATTGAAAGAATCCCTGCTGGAATTGTTTTTCACCGGACTGGACACCACCACCGCCCGGAGCCAGGGGAAGATCACGTGATCGAACCTGCGCCGCCAGTCGCTGGGAATGGGAAGATGAACTCCCCATTTCTGCCCATACGGCACGTATTATCGCAAAGGACGAAATGGACTGTTTGCCACTACTGGAAGTTTCACTAGACGTCAAAGTTTCTGCAGCGATATCGCGAACACTCCTGACCCAGTCGTTCATGAATTATAGCAACATCCCCATCAAACAGGCTAATTATTCCTTTCCCTTGTACGACGGCTCTATCGTCGTTGCTTTCCGCTGCTATATCGGTGAAGATACGGTGTTGGTGGGTAAGATCAAGTCTAAGGAAGAGGCCGAGACGGAGTTCTGTGAGGCTGTCCGGCGTCGACGTGCTACTGCATTGCTACAAGAACACACACCAGAAACCTTTGAGATCAATTTAGGCTTGATCCCAGCCCAGACAAAGGTGAAGGCCGAAGTAACATATATAAATGAGTTGAAGGCTGATCTAGGTGGAGACGGCGTCCTTGTCACTATCCCAACATCAGTGGCTGCCAGATATGGAAGCCCACCAGAGGGATACGATGGAAAGCCGGTGACTAATGCCTCAGTCAGAACCACCGAAAGCGGCTTAAGGATTCAAGTTGAAGTATATGCTCCAGTCCCAATCCGGAAACTCGAATGTCGTACCCATCCCATCTCAGTTGAGCTTGGGGCGGAGGGCCATGCGACGCCCGCTGATTCATTTGGAGATCTTTCACCTGGATCCAATGTGCGCGGATTCAATCCCAACAAAGCCAGGGCGACCCTCACGGATCAAAATGCCTCCTTGAGCCGAGACTTCGTCCTTCTGATACTTACTTCCAGTCCGGGCCCCTTTCCTTCTCGAGCTTTCGTCGAACCGCATCCAGACCGCCCACATCGTCTAGCAATGATGGTGACCATCAACCCTTATGATTTTTTTGCAGCTCATCTCTCTTCGACTGCCTTTAAGAGGGAAATCATATTTTTGGCAGATAGATCTGGCTCCATGACCAATAAAATAGGGGCTTTGAAAATTGCCATGAGGGTGTTCCTTAAAAGTCTACCCCAGGACTGTCACTTCAACATATGCTCCTTTGGGTCAACATGGTCATCCTTGTGGCCTTGTTCAAGAGAATACTCCCATGAGACGTTGGACCTTGCCGAACGCCATATTGCTATGTCTTTCGAGTCGAACATGGGTGGAACCGAACTTCTGCCGGCACTACAAGGTATTGTCAGGGAATGTATGACGCTGGGAAATCGCAACACTGAGATTATCGTACTCACGGATGGGGAAGTGTGGGAGACCGAGGAAACCATTGACTTTGTCCGCTCAACGCGGACGCATTCCTCAGATAAAGTAAGGTTTTTCGCCCTTGGCATAGGCGATACTGTATCGCACAGGCTGGTAGAGGGTATCGGACGTCAAGGGGGCGGGTTTGCGGAAGTGGTTGCTGTAGATGCAGCAGCAAGATGGGAATCGAGAGTAATACGAATGCTGAAGGGTGCTCTGACACCTCCTCGATGGCAATGTAAGGTGCGATCAAAGGACACATTCGGAAACTTCACTCCTTTGGGCGCTGGTGAGGCTGCTACAAGAAGAGACGCAGAAGGGATTACTGAAGCAGGCATTCAACAACCTGACTGCGTCCAAGCTCCGTTCCGCATCCCATCTTTACATGCCTTTTCGCGATATTCGGTCTACTTCTTGCTCGACGAGCAGACTATGAGCGACTTAAGCAACATTAACGTCCTCGGAATTACATCGACAGGTGAGGAAATTTCGGTCGATGTCCAAGTAGAGAGAGTCGCCTCTGCCACTACCATCCATTCTTTGGCTGCTAAAGCGTTGATGAACGACCTTGAAACTGGCCAAAGCTGGTTGCACGCTAAGGATCTTGGGACTTTCAACAATATTCATCCTGACGAAGTTGAAGAAATAGTTCGGCACCAGGCGGAGACATATGGTAAGGAATGGGGAATTACTGGGAAATGGACCAGTTTCGTTGCTGTCCACAGCTCCACTGAAATTGAAATGGCCAGCAGGGTCTATAGGGCAGAGCCATCAGAGCTCTCCGATTTGACGCGGCAAAGATATCAATCTGGCTACGGCGCGAGATCTTATCCGTCCCCAGCGACTTTGGGGGGGCCGTACTCTTCTTCAACCGTGGCAGCGCAGCAATTACGTCGGACGATCGTACCTAGGGAGTATCACAGGGCGGGGTATGCGCCGAGTGACAGGGTGAGGTTCAGCCCCCGTTCCTCGACGCAGTATGACATTATGACAGGATCATCTGTGAAGGAATCAGCTATGAAGGAATCAGCTATGAAGGAATCAGCTATGAAGGAATCACCTAGGAAGGAATCACCTATGAAGGAATCACCTATGAAGGAATCACCTATGAAGCCTTGCGAAGCGGGGAAAAGCAAGAGCCTTGAAACACTATGGAGACGACCAGAGAGAACTCTGAAAGGCCTTTCAACCGAAAACGCCTCTTTGATCGATCCACCTTCGAGCCATCATTTCGACAGTGGGAGCTCTTCCGCTCGCTTCCGAATTGAGGAGGGACCTCCGTCGCCATCAGAATGGGTGGGTAACCTTGAAACTGTGTTAGAACCCCCTTCACTAGATGTCCAATCTTGGGATTACGCTTCTCAAAAGGTTTCTCACTCAAACAGTTCTGAAATCACTGCATTACTACCAGATATTCTGCCCAGCTGTGTTTGTACTGAACGTGAGAAGCTTGCTCGCGAAAGTACAGCACCACATGAGATGAGTCAAGGAAGTGAAGCTGTAGTCCGAGATGACCCAATGCCAACTGACCACTATTCATCGCGACAAGATGACACAACAGCGTTCATGTCTCCGTCAAGAACCTTCCAAAATCACATGGATGAGGACTTCGAAAGCCCAAAACAGGGGACCGCTCGAGGATTCGATGTCTCGCTAAGCCCTCGCTCTACTTCTTCATTCTTCATGAACCTGATCGATCTGCAGTCACACGAGGGCTTCTTTGACCTTCAGGAAACCGTCCGAGAGACCGTACTCAGCAATTTCTCCTCCCATTTATTGGAGCGGATGCAGCAGCTCTTCACAGGAGAGAGCAGCGAAAAGATCACCCAAATACAACCTCTCAGTCTTAAGAGAACGTCAGAACTACTATGCGAGACCATCATCACGATCTTCTACGTTGAACATCAATATGCTAGCTTATCCGGGCTGTGGGAGTTGGTTATCCGAAAAGCACGCGATTGGGTGCGGAAAGAGGTGGAGTCAGACGCATTGAGAGATGCGTTGGCAGACATGGTCCGAATGTACTGGCAACAAAGTGATGATAGTTTCATTTCAAAAATACCGGATACTCACCTGCCCTCTTCGCGAGATAATGTTGGGAAAAGGAAAGTCACTGCGTCTATGAGCGGTGCCTGGAAAAGACTTAGGAGCCACATCAAGAAAGAAAACTTACAGACCAAGCTCTCAGGGTAGACAGGCAGCGGCAATTTTCTTGCCCTCTGGACAAGAGAGTTGAGGCGACTACCCTGAAAAGGTTACTCTCCCCTGGGCAAGGTTCCAGAATGGCGAACACATTCATCCTCTGATTCCTTGACCAGGAGGGTAAAGAGTTTAGACCCGATTATTGCCTCTTTGACTAAAGGCGGTACTGAAAAGAGATGGAATCCTCCTTGCAAAGATGCAACGGAATATAGACCCGACCTTGCGAAAGTGATAGGCAAGATTTTTCTGACTACCTGTCTAGACATCGAATAGACAGAGCCAATGTCCGCAGTCCATAGAGCTGTACTTCTGAGTATAAGGTTTAAAGAATCCAGAGAAATAGTGAGATATTCTTCACATCTTATCTTCTGGGTCACTAAATAAGTATCACTACAAATCTCTTCAATTTTGATGTGAAAGTACTGCTGGGCTTGATTAATTAGCTGAGGAGTACTGTGAGCTTAAATCTGCGGGCCAAAGGATCAGCCTTCTAATTAGTACAAAGTTAATATTTCTGTCTTCTTGAGTTTAATGCATAATTTTAGTATGACTATAAGGTTTTAAACGCCTGCAAAACTATTCTTTCTGAACTATATATTTAAATTTCTAGTTACTTATATATATATTTAATTAAACGCTTTAAGTTATTAGTGCTTTTAGCGCTAAAATAGAACGAAGAGTAATCAGAATGTCTAATTAACTAATTATATAAGCTACTAAAATAGGGTAATTATATTTAAATAAGATTTATCTCGAAGAGTATTGAGACTCAATTCAATAATTATTTAGTTGTTCCACTCTCAGATGTACACTGCTACATAGTCTGGTCCGGTCCGAGCTTTGGTCCGAGCTTATACTGAGCCTGTCATATATTTTGTGCGGTCTGAGCCCTAAATTTCTAGATTTTATGTGAGAGTGATCTGAACCTGCCCCCCCTAAGGCTCGGACCAGCTCGGACCATGTAGCAGCCTACTCAGATGCAGTAATTTTAAGGCGAGATACTCAGTAGAAAAAGCTAATGGTAGACGAGAGGTTATATAGACATTTCTCAATGATAACACAAATGAGGACGGTCTTGCCTACTTAGCGATGACTAAGTCTTACAGTATGCACACGTGTGTTACACGACTTTTGACTTACAATATGCCTGGCAAAGACAGTCGCAGCTGGCAACGCCTCCTGACTCTTCAAAGCCAGATACTAGTACGCACTCATAATTCATTATCTTGCTTTGGTTAAACACTGAGAGGATTAAATGTAGGAAGTAAACTGATGAACTGAAAAAGGTCAGCAATAAAACACTAAGTACTATAATCGCAATCGCGGGTTACAAAAGAGCTATTTTCATTCGATGCATACTGAGCGAGTATAGGTTTTAGATGATAAGATGGGAGTAGAAAGAAGATATTCGCGTGGAGTATATCCGCGTGAGGAAATCATGACTTCCCAAGCTCAGTGTTTGATGTTGTTAGTTTCAGAACAGAGGATGTCACCATCATTATTGCGTGGAGACCGTCAAACCACATCATTCCGGTGGCGAAAGAAATAGAGATCGTTTGATTTAGACTGCCCAGAGAACGGAATCGGTGATGGATAGTAATAGCAAACTAATCCCATGTATAGGCGAATCGCTAAACAACGAAGAGCGATCTTAACCCAGTAAGAAGGCGGAGGGGAAAGAGGGAGTATGGTTGATTTTAACATTGAACTTTTAGTGATAGCATTTTGTTCTTAATATTTCAAGAATACCGAACTATTAGATCATTATCATCCTCATCATTATTATTTGTGATATTTTGAATAATTCCCCTGTAAACAAGTCGTAAGAAGTTTAGAAAAAAAAATATTGGCCTTCAATATAGGGATTCTAGTTCTTTGGAAGACCAAAAAAATCCAAGGTGTTGGATTGAAATGGTCATCGGCTTATCGAGAACATGTGATGATCGATATGAAAAGGGGGGGTGGTGTCTGGTCTGTGGAGATGTAGACGCGGTTTTCGAGACGTCAAGACTCTAGGTCAAAGGTCCCCGGGGCCGGATGGGATTGGGGTAGGATTGGGACCTGTGGCAAGGTTATTGATGGACCTACTTGTGGGGTCCCGGCTGGGTAAGGGGTGTTGTGTTCTCGGAGGTTTTTTCCCTCTTCTTCATCTTCACGCCCTCTCCCGGACCGGCAATGGCTTCTTGGCGCGCCTTGCCAGCTCCACTGCTCTATGGTAGGCTACGTCGGCGGCGACCTTCTCGACCACCGTGTCCAAAGCTGGTTGTTGGGCGTCGTCGTTGTCGTCTTCTCCTGCGTCTCCTTCGCGTTGCCTGCCTTCTCCTACCAGCGCCGAGAGCAATGCCTCGCAGTCCCAGCATCCGCAGATGGGGTACTCAGCCGCGAAGTGAACGCGGAACAGCGCTGTAGTGCGCGCAAAGCCCCCGCTCAGCGTGCTCTTAACGATGCTATCATCATGATTGACGAACTTGCCGGCGAGCGTCAGCATCGCGGTCCTGTACTCGGCCGCCGAGCACTGGTGCGTGTGCCAGACCAGGTCGATGTCGAGGGTCGGCACCATCATGGTGGTGGGGTGGCGGCGGATCAGTTGAAGGAAGTTGTCGTAGCGGGAACGTGCGCGCCGCAGGGTGCCGCCCAGGGCTGGGCTGCGGATCCAGAGGTGCGCGTTCATCTTGTCAACGAAGCTGGTTTGCCGGATGATGGCTTCTCTGAGCCCAAGAGCGAGCGTGCTGTCGGCGGTTTGCACGCACTGCAAGAGATGATGGGCTGCGGATCCCTGGGTCAGGACATTCAGGGTGGAGTCGTGGTGAGTGCCCACGGTGAATGTTGTGAGGGCTGTCCTCGCGGGAGTTGGTAGGGAGGCCCAGCTTTCCAATTGCGCGAATAGGTCCGCTTCGAGGCCCGTGACCTTCTTGAATGCCTGCGAGGCTTCAGCTCGGAGCTGATACGTCCATGGCCCGTGGTCGATGGCTTGATGGATGGCCCGCCACGGAAAATGCAATTTGTATCCCCTGCTGTCCCGGTAGCGGGATTTGAATGTTGCTGGATTCAGCAGCGCAGCATGCCAGACCATGATGACGTCCAGCGGGGGTAGTCTCTCCTCTAAAAACGTCGGGTGACTATTCCGAGTAGCAGCAGTCGCGCAAGGTGCGCTCTTCCACCAAGCCAGGAATCGCACAACAGCCAGTTCGAGGTATTTGTGCCATTTCTGTTCGCGACGGGTCCAGAGCGTGGTGTCTTTCAACCTGAGCTTGGTGCCATCCCTCCTTGTCACTTCCCGGGGGTTCTCTTTCAGATCGAAGACTGTATCCAGTGTTTCTGACTTGAGGATGCGCTGGCGGAGGACGTAGAATGTCTCGAGGAGCTCCAGGTGAACAGCACATTCTGCTACCGTCGGCAGCAGCGGGGAGGGGTCCGGTGCAGGAGTTGCAGGAGGTGCAGGACTCTCAAGCTGGCCGAAGGTATCGGGCGACGGTATCAATGGCTCTTGGGCTTTTGTCGGGGCAGTCTTGTATCGGGTGGGAAGATGTTTGGCTATGGAAGTCATGGATGCCTGGCTCAACTGATGGAGGGTCTGGTGGCCCACGTCTGATAAGAGAGCCATTGTAGTTTTCACATTTCTGGGGCAGCAGCAGAAGCAGCAGCAGAAGCAGCAGCAGAAGCAGAAGACGGGGACTCGCTAAACGGAAGGCTGTGGACAAAGACTGTAAAGAGTTCTCCCGTCAGTCGACTTGACTTGCCGGTTAATACGTGGTTGATACGTAGTTGGTACGTGGTTGATACGTGGCTGATACATGATTGATACGTGGTTAATATATGGTTGATATATAAGTGATACAATATTGCTATAAGGTGCCTTTAAGTAGTTGATGTACTAACAGTATAGTACTATATTTGCCGAAGTTAGGCTAACGGCTTACAGCCTTATTAAGCACCTGTTATTATTTGTTAACTTATGCAGCATTATATAGATGGGCGTAGGTTTTAAGTTAAGTTAATTTACTATAACTATAATACATAGTACATAATACAGAGCCGTTACTGTGTAACGTTAGACTAGATACTTATTACTTATCACTTATTTACCTGACTAGACATCAACAATACAGTACAATTGATACTTACTCTATCTCAATCTCAATCTCATCAACCTTGCCTGGATCCTAATACAGAATTGAGGCCAAATACGAAAACGCCTTCAAAGACGCCTCCAAAGGCTCCTCGGAAAGATACTCAAAGAGTCGCGACTTGGAACGTTTTGCGATTTATTATCCATCACCCTCGCCCTGAACAAGGTCAGGTGAATCAGGCGAGAGAAGAGCGGCGATGTAATGGTGCCACCAGGCTGCCAACCTGAAGTGATATGGATCTTGCCGTCTGGGCCCTATTCTTCCGAGTGCTCTTCAGTCTCCCCTTTGCCGTCTTTGCCGGCTACTCTATCCATCTCTTCGCCCAGATTGCCAAAGATGAAGACGGAGCCGCTGTCCCCAACTGGACGCGCTTCTATGTCAGCCAGGCAATCAACGCGATCGTGGTGAGTACAATGAGCCAACGGCCCGTGTGACTGTTAGGTCGACCATGGGCATTACCTACCCGGAAAATAGATTTAGATCTAATGAACATTTCTTTTACCAGGGCATTGTAGCAGCAACATGGAATCTCGGGGCCGTGTGGATGACCCGTGGGAAACGAATCGAACCGCAAAGTGTCTACTTATTCTACTACTTCATCATCGATCTCCTGGTTTTGGGAGCTTTGCTTACCGCTACTGCTATTGCGACCCCATACGCTCCCAACACCGTCGCTCAATGCGACCGTCTCAAGACAGCACCTGAGTCGGACCTCCCAGCTCTCTTCAGATATCTTGGTCGCATCAAGAGAGAATCAACTCCTTCGGCATGCAGGAGACTGTTGAGAATTCGCATTCTGGTCATCCTATCTATGTGCGTTTCTTCTCTGGGCGCGACAAGCCTGCTCTCTTCCATGGTTACTGATGTGGGTGTCAGAATCATGACTGGCATCATCGCCAGCCTCACCTTCTTCAAGATAGCGCTGCCGCCCACACTAAGGGGTATCCTTGTCTTCACAAGAAGTGCGGCACAAAGGGGCTGTTGGCCGCGTCGTCGCAGCCCGAGGATGATTCCCAGCCTCAACCACCAACCACTTCCGGAGAGGGACGTGGGAAAGCTGGAAGAGATTAGTGGTCTATTGCCTCAAACACCACCGAACCTTGCCGCGCTATTCCGAATTGACCCCATATCGACCTCAATCGCCAGCAACCTGCACTTCTGCGACCTGACCAACATCAGCCTGGCGTCCAAGGCCAGCTTCGCCACCCTCCTCCCCAACTTTTCGAGCGCCTCCGCATCTCCACCTGCGTCGCCGGCACCAAGCGCCAATGCTGGTGCTGCGCCACCCAAATCTGCACCGGCTGCCAGACGACAATAGCCCTCCCCACCTCGAATCCTGCACCGCATACTGCACCGCGTGCTTCTACCGCACCATCTGCGCCGCCCCGCACCGCAACACCGACAGGCACTCAGAGCGCCTGCAACCATGCCTCCACTCCCCTCTGCTACACCCTAGCACCACATCTCACATGTTGTCGTATGTGTCCGGGCACAGAGCCGAGGTCTCCGAGGAGAGGCCGCTTTGCCGTCGGTGTGCGGCGCTGGCCCCAGCCGAGGCGGTGCGCATCCGGGCGGCCCGCGAGAGGGTCGAGATTCGTTTCCTGGCCCTGCGCCAGGCCACGTGTGCCGAGTGTAGGAGGGAGTTGCCCCGAGCAGCGAGGCGGTGGTGGGCTTGTGCGCGCTGTAAAAGGGCCTGTTCCTGGGACGGCCATCCGGGGTGGGGAGGGAAGGGCAAACAAGGCTAACCTTGCGGGGACCGGTGAGAATGGTGCGAGGGTGGTGAGGAGGTAGGTATCTTATCTTCGCTTCCCTTCAGGTTTCTAATGAATCCGAACATGATTAACGTGGCAACGACACAGCAGTTGGTTTTATGTCGATCCCATTTTGCTATCGTTAACATCCTCAGGCTATCGCGCAAAACATGCCTAGGGAGTGCCCGGAGGCCCAGACCTGCAGGCCTCCGGCGCAGTGAACTCAGGACCGGAGGATCCTGTTAGGCCATAGGCTGCTATTGCCGATAGTAGATCGGTATGCCATAGTCTAGGTCTAGTTGTTAGTATAGCGCTTGCCGTCAGTCAAGTAGCAGCTGGCTGACGAAGGGAAACAATCCGACTGTTACAACACCGATCCTTTGACGTCTCATTTGCGATGGGCTCCCATGCCGAATAACCGGTAGCTTTGTTTTTCTCTGTGCATCAAGACGCTCCTTTGTCAGTGATTGACAAGTAAATAATCGATGCTTCATAGATTCGAGCTATTAGTCCTTCAGAGTGCCCATTGATCTCTACCATGTAAGCCAATTTCCGTTTATAATCGACAGACTTACTTCAAGTCGATAATTAATCAACACGGGTATCGTATAGGTATCTTAGTTTTAATCCTTGTTGACTGAAATAAAAGTTTATCCGTTAGAAGACTAAGAAACGATGAATATCGTCGATCAAGTCGTTATTATAATCTTATCACCGATACGGCCGAGTATGCGAGTATGACAGACTCGTTATGACAGGGACAGGGACTCTCGAATCTTGACATTTCCTTTTTCTTGCGTTCGTTCTCTCTCTCTCTCTTTCTCTCTCTTTCTCTCTCTTTCTCTCTCTCTCTCTCTCTCTCTCTCTCTCTCTCTCTCTCTCTCTCTCTCTCTCTCTCTCTCTCTCTCTCTCTCTCTCTCCCACCACCCCCACCACCACCACTACCACAACTACCACATCCGCCTTCACGACACCCACTCCCACACTTGCCTCCACATGCAATCGCACAGCCTCCCGCACAGCCATGCGCCATTCCCCCACACCCAAAGCCCCCCGGCGGCCAGAACTGCGACATCCGCCGGATGTTTGAGGTATGCTGGGTCAATGGCGGGCTGCGTGGTGGGATCTAACCACAGTGTTAGCTCAATTCATAGGGCTTGCAAACGCTAATCCTCACCCGAGCTCGTTATATGGACACTGCCACGCGATGCAGGATATTGCAGGCATACAGCTAATGTTATGCCATTTGGCTGCGAGAGGTCTGCTGGAGGCGGCGGCGGCGGCTGCTGCTGGGAAGGAGGAGCAGCATCTGGATGGCGAGGCCGGTGCAACCATGCCGTCCTTTCGCGGAAGCTTCTCGACTTCGCCATCGCGACCGCCGCGGCGAGGAGAATATCCTGCGCCAGCAACACAACCAGGCGATTGCGCATCCACGGCAGGCCAGAAAGGTGCTGTGCTTGCCCCGGCTCCGGCGGGTAGAGATGCCGGCCCCGCGCCAGATGCAGAGAGATGACAGACCACGAGTCGAAGGGAAAGGCCAAGACGTGCTTTGCAAGATTGCAGTCCCCGCACTGCGTTGGATACCGGCCGTATGCCTCAGTGCAATCCCACGGGAAGACGTCTTGGTACGGGTAGAGAGGCCCACCGAAGCCGCCCCAGTCGTACCAATACTCCATGAGCGTGTCGAGCATGTCGGATTCATCGTGCCGCCCGTAGCGGAACTTCAGGAGGTACTCCTCCGTAAGCCCGTTGGGCACGTCAAATTTGGAGCGGGGGATCGCTTTGCTGTAAGCGCCTGGTCGGCAGACAAAGCTGATTAGGTAAAGAGGTCCCAAGATAGTGGCTTGCTTGTCCTCGTCAAAGATAGAAATATCCGTTGGCGCCACTAGGGGGAGAAAAAGTTCCTTGTCGAGAAGGTTGTCGCAGAAGTTTTGGCAGTTGTTGGTATGGAAGTCCCAGCGTAGGGGGACGGCGACATCAACGAGCCGCTTGGCTAAGCTTGCTAGATAAAGAGAAATCCGTGGCCCTAGGTACTCCTTAAGTTTTGCCATGAGGATTTGCAAGCATTCCTCCAAGATGGCTGCTGCCACAGCTGCTCCCAAACCAGGGTCAACAATCTGATGGCTCGCTTCGATCAGAGCATCAATGATTTCATCTTCCAGCTTTTCCTTAAAGAAGCAGGAAAAGGCACCTCCCACCACTTGTTTCATGATCGTCTTGTAGCGCTTCGGTTCCCGTTCCCTCTGCTGAGAATAAAGGGTGCGGTTGGTGATACCAGCAACCAGTAAACTGTGTTTGATGTCTTCGCCTGAGTCTCGTAGAACCTGTAGATTGGGGGGATCACGGCTTGTTATGAGAGCGCCGCCGTGAGTACTGTTCAGTCAGCATATCACTTTTGGGAGAAAGAGATGCTGTACACACTACTTGCCACCGTTTTCGATCAACACAGGGCCAATCCGCAGCGCCATATGGACGTTACCATAGGGGTATTTATCCGCTGTCGAACGTAAAAAGAATGGAATGTCGCTGTCTTCGCCATCTGTGATACCGGCCGACTTCCCAAATTCTGCTGTCCTGACACTCGGATCAAGCAGACTAGACCTCCCTTGCACCATTTGGGCCTTGCCTGACTTTTTAGCCTTTCTGGATTTCTTTTTGAGCTCCTGGATTCTTTCCTCTTTTCGCGCTTCATCAACTCTCTTGATCTCGCTCAACTTGGTCCGCTTCTCTAGCTTGGAGAGTGTAGCCTGATATCTTGCTTCGGCGACCAACTCCCCAAGATCCAGTAGGCCACAGTGAAGTGATGCAGGCGGCAGCTCGGCGCCGCGGTGCGCATCCCCTTTATCTACAGGAAACAGAGCTCTAGAACGGCCATCGCCGTCAATTCGCTGTACTGTGCTGCAGCGGCATATTTGCCGACTGATCTGGGGGGTGATGCTTTGCGAGAGGACGCTCTGCTTGTACGACTTCAGAAGCTGTGGTTGGGCATAGTGGTGCCTCGTATAGCAGCTCTCGCAGATGACTATATTACCATGAGCTGTGTCGCTTCGGAAAGAGGAGCCGCAGATGACTGCGTGGCATCTGGTACACAGCTGAGGGGCAATTACTGGCATACAAGCCATATCCAGGCCTCGAAAGCACAGTTGCGGGACCGCAGCTCTCTTCCAGAAAGACGACAATACTTCCGGCTCTCGATATTCTATGACTTTGTCGATATCCAGGAATCCGCCTGCTTGCAAAAGCATGCGAGCGCGCCGTCTCAGGGTAGAAATGGGTCTTCTTTCTGTGAGGGCCGCTCTGATACCAGATTTGAGAGACGAGCTCTTGTAATCTGCCAGAAGATCTCTGGCCCGGTCACGTAAAGCTTCTTCATAGCTAGGCGGCGGGTCTTCCTTCTTGTCGTGCAACTTTTCGTTGTGACGATGGGCAAAATCCCACGAAGTCTCACTGACTTGGTCCAGAAACGTATCATAGCCATGAATGAAGTCATCTTCCTCGTCCGGAAGCACTGTTTCCGTGTACTCAGGTTGCTGCCACCTTTTCAACGTCATCAGGATATGCGCTAGCTCCCGCTTCACTCCATCCCAGTACATATCCAGGAGAGCCTGGTGAAGATAGGCGTCCGCAGGCCCAACCCCTTTCCAGGGAGTCTTTGGCGCATCGGGCGCCATTGCTACTTTCTTGGACAATCGGTTCCACAGAGCGAGACGAAAAGCATGAGGCGATAGAGACGCTCAGAGTGGAGAATGCCACCGGAAATGCTCTCGGTCCGGAACAAGGCAATAAGATGGGAACTGATGATGGCAATGGGAGAACCAAAAAGCAATGTTGAAGATGGCATATGCAACTAACCTTGTGTGCAAAAATGTTCTTACGAGGCGGAGCGGAGCCTCAGGATCACAATCGCGTAGGCTGACCAATTAAAGCAAAGGCTTTTACCAATCAAAAATAGCAAAGTTTGACAAGTCTATGTTGTCAGAATCCCTACGTATATGATACGTATCTGTTAGGTATTAGCATGATGGTACAGGGGTCCCCGCATGCAAAACGCACGAAACGCTCTTGTAACTGTTACGCCCTGTTATTTATGGCAGTGAGCATTGCTATACGAATTGAACGCCAAATGCTGTTTCTGAGCTGTTACAGTAATGCGCTTCTATAGCTATTAGTATGAGCAAATGCTCCTCTTGATAGGAGTAACTCAATCAAGTGAATTGGCACCTCCGTACGCTGTTTGCTACTACTTCTAACATATGTTACGCTGAAATTGAGGTGAAACTAAGAATCGATTCTTTGGGATAACTAATAAGACTTGCTTAATGTCAATATGATTTCGTAGGTATCTAGAGTCTAAAATGGTAACGGTTGTGGCTGAGAAAGTGTGGTGACTGTTGGAATTGGCCGTCAGCCAATCCCTGGCGTCGCGTGTCACGTGACTGCGCACGTGCCACTCTGCACAGTATTTAGCCTCTCCTCCTTCTGAGATAGACTCTGCAGGTACTACGTAGTAGATAGAATACCACTCATCCACTTCACCAGTAACCGTGCGGGTTTAGCATGGAGGCTTAGCTTAACGAACACTTGTAAGTAGTGCTATGGTTATGACCCGCAGGCGTGACCAGCGCTTGGCGTTATTATTGTCTTGGCGAATGCTTAGCGAAGCTGGCATACTAGTACTTCTACTGTTTCTTCCTTGCAACCTTCTTCTTCCTCTTTAGCTTTTTCAATTGACTCTATTTCAACGATATATTCTAGCCTTTCTAGCTATTCCGCCACCCTAGCTATCACGTGATGATTCAAAAATGTAAGTAGGAGAGTGTATCAAGAGACAATCATCTGCTGTGCTGCTCTGCACAGCGTCGGCGCGGAGGGCCGTTGGCGCTCAATTACTGTTGCCCCCCAATATATACTTATCCCTTCTCCTTTCATCATTGCCACCTGTGGCCGTGACAGCATAATCTGCAAACACCCCGACTTCATCGAGTGGGTGCGATTCTGCCCTGCAAAAAGCTCCAAAGAACAGCATCACAATAACAAGGTACATTTATAGGTCTTTATACGATCCCCGCCGGGACCTCTTTTATCGACAGTCCTGGCGTACGGACTCGATACGTCAAGGACGATGATGAATTTGTATTGGATACTCTGAGAAAGGGGAAAGGAGAATTGAATTTTAAGACCAGCCGGTAAGGAAGAACGAGATGGGCATTTAGCGTAGTTTGAACACACAATCCGCATCGACTAAATTCTACCCTGAGCTCCCTACTTTGATTTAGAGCAACTACTTAATAGCACGCGATTACTGCAATTGGTTACTTGGGCATATTCGTTGACAAGACTGCCTGAGATTGCTCCTAAATTCGCATTCAGTCGTAATCCAAAGTTAGCGACAGCCGCCTCAATCAGAATTATCGCAAAAGAGAAGAAAGTTTGAAGAACATCGCCGTCCCACCGCCTCGCTCGTCTACAACATCGATGCTGGTCCCGACAAGCTGTTTCGGTGTCATAGTCTGCCGATGCACGACCGAATATAGAGCAAAAGGGCCAGCCGCGCCGATCAAGTCGAGCTGCACCGTGGTTGAGAAATCCATTTTCGGGCTTATGCTCCCAGGCTGCGGCACCGGAAGTGCGATGGTTCCTTTCAAAGCGCGAGGAGGATTGGAACTTCGTAGCTGGATAGTCAGGACAGTTAGAAAAGTTGCTCAAGAAACAGGCGGAATACATGAAGTAGACTTACAGCGGCGGTTATGTTGAAAGTGAGCTCTTGCGCTGGACCGAAAAGTTGGAACGCAGCCCTACCAAGACTGACGGACGACAGGGCCGGAACTACGAAGAGTGAATCTTGCAATGGGAACCGTTGGTCGCCAACTTCGATGCCGGACAGGCCGCTGCTTCCCTCAAATGAGATAGTGAATGGATAGTGGAAGGTAGGTCCATAGATGCCGTTGCTGCGGTCTGTGTTGTCAGTGGTTGCTTCGACGCTGGTCCGTGAGAGACGTCGCATCCGATCAACGACGGTAATGGTCAAGCTGCTAGGTGCGGAAGCATATCCTCCGGTCTCGATATATCTCAAGAAACCCGAAAGAGTCATCTTGCCGCTCCAGTCAACATTCAGGGAGAGATTGGAATATTTCACACTGCCTGGGTCGATTGGAGGCGTCAGTTTGACTCCTTTGGGAACCGTGTCAATCATTCGGGTGAAGAGAGTCGCGCAGGTTGATCGAAACTGGTCTGTAGATTGTGCCAGCTTCTGCACTGTAGCGTTCCCGTCCGAGGAATAGAGACGCAGATCTGATTGCACGGTCTTGTTGGTAGTGGTGACTAGAGGGCCCCCTTTATTCCCGGTCCCATGAATATACTGCTGGACAACACTGTTATCAAAGTTCGCGACAGTGTCATCCCACCCGCTCCGGCCTACAGTGTTGTTGACACCGACTGCTGACTCGGGGACAATCTGAGGGAATTCATCATGATGCACCCCTCCCATGGTATGGCCACAAGCGGTCAGTGCTATTGCATCTTTCTGATTAAATCCCGCGCCTGAGAAATGAGTCAGGGTTGTCTTGACATCGGACTCGGGCTCCGGCACTCCAGAGGCGCCTGGCCCTGTGGCATCTATGCGGCCGCCACGAAGGGGGATCTGAGGACCTCCGCAAGCGCCGACAGACATTGCAGCTCCTAGCGCAATAAGATCCGCCATTGATAACTTGTCGTTAGTGAAGAAGCTGAACCAGAACAGAGAGTCGTTGAAGGCAACCCCGAAGTTTTCCGGACGATGTGTCTCGAATCCGATAGATGCATCGATGCCACCTGTTCCCGCCGCAACGTCCGCTGTCACCATATCATCTACCGGAGATTAGTCAGTTCGCTTTGATTTCTCAAGTCGCTTCATGGAAGGAGGCTATTCGATATTGGGTCATGAATAAACAGATTAGGGTTGCTGACAAAGAACTCAGCTCTTAACCACATCAGAAAAACTGCAGTCTGGAAACCCCCTCGAGTTCTTCATACAGGTTGCGAACATTGCAAGAAAGTGGCCTTACGGAAAGCAGCACGTATCCATTGGGCCGCAGACTGCCGTCCCAATGTCTGGTCAAAGCGAGGGCCGGTAGGATCAATATATTGGGTGCAAGGTGTAATGGCGAACTTGAAGCCCGCCGGGCCGGCGTCATCCAAGTAGAGACGCTCAAGTTCGATCATTGTATGTTCTTGCGAATTTGGAAGCATTTGAGGAGAAACCACCCTGATTAACGCAGCCAAAAGGCCGATGCCTCCCAGAGTTGAGAGCATGGCAACAGATCATAAATGATATTGATATCGGGAGAAAAGTGCAACGTGAGAAGTAAAAGCTCAGTACAAAACCACCTCAAAAAGAGCGATATATAGTAGCAGTTGTGCAAAGCGACTCAGACCCATCCTATCCACCAGAGCGAAACAATATTAGTATTTGATCGGCAAGCAATACACTGAGCATGGAGGCTAGCTGATTCTGCAACGTGGGAAATTATTTCTCGGAACCGTATCAACCACGCCATTTTCCGATTCCGGTAGCACCTGGGATAACAGCATCCACTAAATATCACTGCCGTAAGGGAGAAGAAGCTTGAGGTAAGAGTCAGGTCTTGGGCATGCGAAAGGTTTTATGACTTTGAGGCGACCGCTCCAATCTCAATGGTGTTTATCGACTTTGAAGCACACATACGGCCCCCAGAGCATCGACAACAGTTGCCGGAAATTTGGAAATTTCACCCACTTGCCCGTCACTGCAATTCGTCCAGCTAGCACATATTACAGTCCGGAGTCGCATTATAGCTGGCAATTCGGATCCGATCACGCGCAATATAGTACACTAGCAGACCACAGGACCTAGCAATGGTGTTCTGTCAACCTGCTGTGCAGGGTGTGTGTAGAAAGCAAGTTGTTCGATAGCTAGGGGGGTAGAGAGCGTAGATCTATGTACAATTAGCTGTGTCGTACAGCGAAATTAGAAGCGAAATTGCGGTAGAAATTGACCAATCAAAAGCAGGCGAAACGCAGGGGCTTCGCGTAGAAATCCCAACTAATGAGCGCTCATGCACATACCTTCAAATCAAACTCTAGATAAGCTTGGCCGCTATCAGGGGAGCAGATTGTACTTGACCTCTTCTTTCAAACCATTTTGGAGCTCGCTACCTGCTTAAAGGGTAAACATTATCCACTTCCGACTCGACAAGCACCACAGGATTTCAATTCGACGGCAAATAGAAGCTTGAGTTCAGAATCAGGGCCACCATCAATCAAGCAGATTTTTGGCGGAGGAGTGTCCCAACTTATTCTGTCTCTTCCTGATCTGCCCAGTGTCCAAAAGCAAAACACGAGAAAGCATGATCCGGTATGACAGTCATACAAGTATCTCATCGATATCTTTTGGCTGGAGCATAAGCAAACTCTCGACATTCCCCACAAACCAGATCTCTGCATCTGATTTTATGACACCATTTTGACACACCACTGTCCTGCTGAGAGCTCCCAGGTGCGGTACTTCAAATCCAAGCTGGATTCGTAGTACCGACGCACATAAAACCACCACATGAACACCTCAATAATCAGGAACAGCTTCCAACGCAGATCTAGATGACTATGACCATTATTGCGACCTTGCCAACAACTCGGACAAGGAAAAGACCTTCTTCCCCGCTTCGCAAAGGTTCGAGGCTGATTCCACAGGATTGTCATTCCCCAACAGATCTAACGATATAGTCTTGTAGTCCTCGAACGATGCGGCATCCCAGCTAGATTGGACCATAGGGAATCAGATTGATTCTCGGTTACATGTCCTTCTTGGAACAGGTCGATCTTGATATCTCGCAATGGAAGGCATCTTTTGTGTGACCGGACAAACTCAATCTCATCATAGACACTCACCCATGGTGATTTGTTTCAGATTCACCCGTCATTTGACCGTTATACCTTTGTGGAGCACGTGTATCGATCTCAACCCTGGTTGACAGATCCACATCGGACGCTACGATGCTCCTTTTCCAGCTCTTGAACTTCTTACGGCTTCCTTGCCACCTTCACTGTCGTAGAACGTGATTAGTCGCGTTTCTCCCGCTATTCTTGGTGTGCCTAACGCCCGTGTCGTAGGAAACCATTCAGAAATTGCAGCTACACAGAAAGCATTCCACGCCACTTGGGTTTCGTCTTGATTTGGGATGAAAAATAGTTGTCTGCAGAAAAACGCGACTGTTCACAGCTCGGTGGAAGGCTTGGTTGACTCTTTGACTGCGAAGGAGACCCTGAGGAGATAAGTACGACGATATAAGCACCAGAAGTTCTTCCAGAGCAAAGAGCCGAAGAGCGACGACGCTAGAAGAAGGTTGTGCTTCCAGCCTTTTTTGCATCTCCAGAAAGTCACGTACTACCTGCATGTTAGGTCGGATGATATAGTGAGGGGGGTTCGCTAGTTGCTCTCTTTCTTTCAACCGTCGTGCGGCCGTATTAAGGCGAGGGAGCAGTTGAGTTGCAAGGAAGGGCTGGCGATCGTATGAGGAGGGGTACACCAAGGCTTGAATATCTGAAGCGCAGGGGTATGGTCTTTATAGATCTAGCATTGAAAACAATAGTAGGTCAGGGCAATCTGCAGTAGCACGCAATATCCCAATCATTTCACGCTAAATCATTCCATTACCGATCGGGTTGACAACGATATATGGCGTCAAGGTAGGCCAGCGCCTTCCTCCCTTGACAGTGGGAAGAGTGTCCGCCATTTTGGGAGAAGTTGTGAACGGATAGGTAGCCCGCTGGGTTGGTGAACTTAATGGATCGCTTGTTACCGACTCAGCCTAGATTACCACTCCTCAAGCCATACTTATGCCAGTGGCCACGCAAAAGTGTGGTCCAGGCCAACTGACCTGGCCTTGGATCCCTGTTGCATGTAAGACCACATGACGGTTCTCCTGTGTGGCTCAATGCCCCATCAACCCAAGAGGGGTTTGATGTAGGACCCCACGTCTGCTGCCTTGTTGTCACGAAAAGATCCATGACCCACCGAATACCTCGTCATTCACCCAGTCTACCGCCTCTCACATCAGCCCGATGCAACCCCATCATTTAGTGGCCTGGCTTCCTGTCACTATGAGCATGTAGGTCTTGTACCGTCTGATATGGTCCTGGGCTCCATGCTGGCCACTCCTAGCCTGGCATGGATCAGATACAATTTTCACCATGTATTGATCCGATTTGTCTTCATCACCGTGTCGCCCCTGTCGTGTCACCCCATGCCTCATGCCAGTCACTTCCCTCTTTGGATATGGATGCCGTGGGACAGGAATATTCGCCACCTGCTAACTATAGCACATCTTCTTGCCAATCACGACGAGACGCTAAAGCTTGCATTTTTTGGATGTATCGCTCTTGATGTAAAAAAGCGGACTCCTCTTCGCGCCATTGATAAAGTATGGTTCCCACGAAGTCAGTAACGGCTTTGAAAGTAGGGACTCTATGATGACCCATACCCTGATTGGACCGCCAAGAGCCATTCAATGTAGCCCTTATCCAACATACCAATGGCTCGCGGTGATGGCATTCATTTAACGAGGCTTATAACAGATCGTCTTCCCCACTGAGCGAGAAAATCTTTTGTTAGCGCTTTCTTGGTTCGGACTCTCTGGAGTCCCAAGGGGTTTCGTCTCAAAGTGGAAGGGCCGAAGGCCTAGATCTGCTTTAAGCATAAGGAAAGATAGCTGTCAGATTTAGGCCGCATATACCATATTTAGCATTGACGCGAGATGACGAAGTTGGTGGACAAGCACCTACCCCACCTTCTCGCGACCTTCCCATGATGCTGCATGCAGTGTGCTGCCATGCACTTTCGAGGTCACACTAGCGCAACTGTCGCGTAGATCTTTCTTCTTACGATGTTGAGGAAGACAATCAAGGAACCATCAGAGGCCTCACTTATCCACCATGCAGGTGAAAACACTATCCGAGGCAATTGAGCCTTCAGCGAGAAAAGATCTGGCAGAGTGGTTGGCATTTCTTGCGTAATGCAGAGCCAGTCTGATAACCCTAAAGATGTCGACGTCGTGGCTGTTTGCTCCGAGGAAAATCAATAACAGAAAGGGCTTAGCTGTGAACTAGATACTGTGCGTTGCAAAACTGTTGCGAATTCTTTGGCGGTACCCTCGAATTGCTGGCGCCGCAGAGCAGACTGTGATGAGGGTAGAGGATAGCCATTTGCCACCTAATTACTTATCGTATATGGCGTGCTGAAACGCCGACTTGCCGAATCCGCAGTCGAATCTGGCATCTGGCTGCCCAGAGACAGGCCGAGCCAAACGCAGACAAATTACAGAATCATATTCAGCTCTCTTCTTTGTTTAAGGCGCCATTCATTCCTTATCTGTATGTCACTGTCTTTGACCGCATCGCATGAGGGGAAATATCCATTACCGCCACCACTATGACGGACGCTTTTGAGATCCGAACAATGAAGAGGAAGAACGTGAAGGGTCTGACACTTAGCCCCAGGTTGCTGCCGCCTCCTACTGGCGACGTGCAGATATCTAGTGCCACCAGCAGTGACGAAGGAAGAGCGGATAACCCTGAGATCACAGTTGACTTCAGATTTGATTTGAAGGCGGGGTACTCGAAGAACAACTTGAAGGCAAAGGAGTGGATCGTGCTGAAAAATCTTGGGCAGGGAGCTGAGGGACAAGTGACAAAGGTCCAGCACGTGGCTACAAAGTTGATAATGACACGTAAGGTAGGATAAGAGTACCGCGACCTTGGAGTCTGACCACGTTCATGCTCACATGACTTTCCCTTGCAAAGATCCTTCACGTTGATGTGAAGACGGCCGTCCGGAAACAGATAACACGAGAGCTACAAACCATGCGTGACTGCAATTCTAAATACATTTTAGCGTTCTTTGGGGCCATTCAGAATGATGGAGGTGAAGTGGTGATGTACAGGGAGTATATGGATGTTGGGTAATTACCCCTTGTCGGTTACATCTGTACATAACATTTTCTAATGCCAGCCTCCTCACATAGTTCCCTCGAAACTATCTCACAAGCTTTTGGTCCAGTCCGCATGGATGTATTAGGCAAGATTGCAGAGGCAATCCTAGGCGCTCTCACATATCTCTATACATATCATCGCATTATACATCGGGACGTGAAGCCCTCCAAGATGCTTGTCAACTCGTGTGGCCAAATCAAGCTGTCCGACTTCGGAGTGTCTAGCCATTTAATAAACTCAATCACGGAGACCTTTGTCGGCACCCGTATCTACTTGGCTCCTGAGCGGGTGCAGGGCTCACCATACACCGTCAAGGCTGACGTGTGGGCCGTTGGGCTAACATTGCTGGAGCTCGCGATAGGAAAGTTTCCATTTGGCATGGACGAAAATGATGCAACAAGTAGTCCGCTAGGTGTGATAGATCTAATCCAACGAATCGCAGTGGGGCCGTCGCCACGCCTTCCAAAGAGCAATATATTTCCCACAGTCCTTGAGAAATTCATTGAAAAGTGTCTCATGAAGGACCCCAAGGACAGGCCGACACTCCTGGAACTATATGTATAGGGCGCCGGCTGAGATAAACACCTTACAATATTCACTGACTTAGTACAGGAACATGATGCCTTCCTCCTTGCAGCAAAGCGCACCCCAGTCGATCTCAAGGCATGGGCGGTTGGTTTGATGGAGCGTCAAGACAGTAAGTCTCACCTCACCGCCCGTCTATCACCCTCAGCACGTGTCCTGTAAATTGAGTAAAATAGCTTATAATATTATCGTGGCTGGGTACCGAATTCCTGAACCCTAGAGGTGTTATCTGGGCTGGGTTGAAAGCTGCCGTCTGTCTGAATCCCTCGAACAAGGTGAACGCCCCGGCTTGCTCTTTATCTGTCTCTGTAACTCTATTTTCATTGACCACTATTCTCGCCGATTCCACGTTATCTTAAGTCTGACTGTTTTCAGGATTGCCTGAGAGACTCTCTGAAGAAACATTGCTGCTAAGCAAAGCGGACCCAAAAGCAGGTCCAAGGCCTGATGAGCTGGGCGGATGCTCAGCCGAAGACAGGATGACTCTTGCACCATTCATCAGAGGTTTGCAGAAGTTGACTTCAATGGAATCGCTGGAAGCGACCAAGAAACATTGCGTGCCTTCTCTGTGTCATCATTGTAAACAACTGTTAGATTCGGATGTGGGACTTCGGGGGTCTGGCAAGTTGAAGCGGCGGGAAGTCGAAGATGGCGCACGCAGACTTAAGTGCCCACTCTGCCAATTGCTTGTTGATTGTCTCCCGCCGGTCACAGCTTCTCACATCTCAAACACAACTTGCTCCTCAGGACGATCGCACATGGTGCAAAATACGACCCACGCAGTCCTGAAGGTCGGTCTTCTCAATGGTACGTAATTTCTTCCAGATAGCTATGGGGTCTACTGATGTCGTCAGAGTTTATGGACCCCATAATGAAAATAGGCGCTCAATTTGAAGATTGGAATACCCAATCTCATTGCGCCTTTCAGATGGCAGCAGCGTGGAGTTATACGTGTCTCACAAGCCACAGTAAATGCATGGGAGCTGCGGAGCTTGCATTGCCGGTCTTACCAACACGAGTCATTGACGTGGAGCCGTCCGATGGGTCGAAGGATGTACGTCTCCACTCCGGTGAAGGTGAGCGAGCCTTCTATTTTACATTGAGCTACACTTGGAATCAAAGTAAAGCTGCGCCTTTCCAAACCGTCGGATCCAACCTGGATGCATACAAACTCTCGATTCCGCTCTTAACGCTCCCGCAAACCATGCAGGATGCGATTCTCATCACCAGAAGGTTTGGCGTCCGGTACCTATGGATTGATGCCCTTTGCATCATACAAGACTCTGAGGACGATTGGCGGTCCGAAGCAAAGCAAATGGCGAGGATATACAAAAATGCGCTGTTGACCATCGCAGCAGCTGCCGACACCATCGAAGGAACCCAGGGCTGCTTTCGACCCCGGTCGCGACTGCGGACGCGCCCCTTCGACTCCAACTCAGCATGGCCCAACGGCTGCCCTAAATATATATTTGCTAGTCGTAGACTCACCGGGGATGGAGCGAGGCCTCTCAGCACCTTGGATACAAGAGCGTGGGTTCTCCAGGAGCAACTTCTCTCCCCTCGTGTGCTCAGCTACTCCAATAAAGAGCTATATTGGGATTGCATATCTCTCAATGCTTCTGAAACATTTCCAGACGGTATACCCGATTTCTACGACGCGAAGATGAAATCCCTCGACTTTCGGCTGTTCAAAGAAGCAATTCTTGGTGGTAGCGAGACGAATATAAGTCATGAACAGTTCCACACTTCGTGGATGAAGGTCGTGGAAGAGTACTCGGAGCGCAAAATGACGCGAGAGAGGGACAAGCTCGCAGCTTTGCTAGGAGTAGCCAAAGAGGCTGCTATCTTTCTCAAAGACGAATTCCTGGTCGGGCTGTGGAGGAGCCGGCTTTGGAGACATTTGCTGTGGTGGGTCAAAGAGCCGGACATGTGTATACGACCTCGGAATTTCACCGCTCCGACCTGGTCTTGGACCTCCATAAATGCGCCTATATCGTACGAACTTCTTGGCCTCGATCGAGATGTTGATGTATACCAGTGTATTGAAACCATCCACGTTGAGGCGGAGTCCAATCAAACTCTTCCCCTTCTCTCCGGCAAGCTAGTCGTTCGTGGAAAGTTGGTTCCCATGATGGCCCAGGGCCCACAAGACGCCTCCGGATCCAGTGCCCTGGCTAACCTGCCTGCGCCAATGTGGAGAGAGGACATCGTGGGAACTGACCCAGCCTCAGTGCAATGCTTGATCGTTGCGGTCTCCTCGTGCTATGTTTACGCACTTGGTCTTGTGGCTCTCGAGGATGCAGAGCATCATTATAACCGCGTCGGAATGGTTAATTGGAGAGCTCGCCCTAGGGTATTTGGTTGGGATGAATGGACAGGGAAGTGGGGTGATGCAGGAGAATTGGAAACTATTACTTGCTTGTAAAATTCGACGGCTAGGGTTTCTCACCTTTATTTTTTTGGTTTGTAATATCGCCTACATACTTTTATAAACCTTGATCAGAATTTGTATGGTCCAGACATATGGTCCCAACTCCACATCATATCACCATTTCATCTTTCTAAGTTTTCAGCCAATCAATCGAGCTTGGCTGTTCCCTCCCGAATGTATTGTATTACAGCATAGTCTGTACCCATAGTACAAACACAAAGCATTTCACAGGGTGGACCTAGATATAGTAAGCTGTTGGCAATAGCGATCCTTTATTAAAATGTTTGTCGAAATATCCAGTTTGCCACGAGCAGCAGCAGGAATGATGAAACGATGGCATTTGCAGCCTGAGCACCGCTCGAATACAGCGGAACATTTTAGTGGACAGAACGGACCCAAGGATTCCATTTTTGTTGGATGCAATATGGGCATAGATAACCGCCTCTCTCTAGCCCCCCCGAAAAAGAAAACAGCACGCGGACGTACAGCAACTGGTCCTTACGAAGAGCCAAGGGAACACAGGAAGAGCGGCTGGGAAACCAACCTCAAGCCGCTCACTACAAAAACGCAAATCAAAACCGCGAGACCTGCAGGGCGTAAGGCGATGATGTTGTAAGCAGGGATTGGGAACCGTGCCGTGCAGAGGATTGATGTGCTGGGAAGATTTCGACTTGCTCTGCATGGGAAGGGAAATTAAGTCACGAATGGAGTGACTGGAGTCTGGTTAAGGCTTGTGTACGTCTATGGTTCTATATTATACGAGGATTCCCGATCCTCGTCTCTTTCTGATTGGAAATGCGATGCAATGGATGGATATCCTGCCATCAGGTTGCGATGCACACAAACAGCGACCATGCCTCTTTTTCCCTGTGCACAGTATTACAACAAAACGACCCGGCTATGCATTCACTTGGCGATCCAAGGGAAAAGTGAAAGTAAACCCCCCCCAATATAGCAATGACCGAAAACAAGCCTCGCGCCAACTTCTGTCATTCACAGTCCAAGCGAACCTAGACCAGGAAAGCCAAAATCCCAGCAAAAGCAGCCACCCCAGCACCAATGCCATTAGCGTCGAACTTGTCAGCTGCACCAGTATACAAGGCAACGCTTGAGGTTGGACTGGCTCTCGTTGTACCATTGATTGCACCACTTAACGTAGGGTTTGTGGTGATGACAGGAGCTGGGACGAGACCGACACTGGTAACGGCTTGAGGCGTCACACCACTTGACTGGCCTGCGCCAGCGATAGCGGTAGCCGGGACAGCTGTGTTGGTGATGAAAGATACTTGAGGCACGGTAACGGCGTTGGTCGCGATGGAGCCAGTGCCACCAGTGGCAGGAGACACCGTCTGTGTATAGGAAATGACGGTCACAGGCACTTGGGGAGTCTGGGCTGGAGCGGAGACGATGCTTGTGACCATCGATGTCACTCCGGCGGGTTGAACATCGGTTTGGCCTGGAACGGTAGCTGTCGCGGTGGTGGGAATGGTAGCGGTTGAGACTTGTGCTGTTGGGCAGAGAGTGATGGTTGATGGTACAGCGGTGATGATGGCCGGGTTTTCTGGAAAGCTGGCAGCGCAAATGCCAGTGAAGTAGCTAAGAGCTGCAGACATCTCGTTGGCAGAAGCACCCCACGCTTGAACACAACCAATGACAGCATCAGTGAATGCCTTTGAAGGACAATAACAGGAGGCGTCCGAGTTGGATGAGCAATCTGGGACAAGCGACAGCCAGGTGTTGAGGCAGGAAGGTAGAACTTCTGGACAAGGTGCATCAGATGGCACTGGCGCTGCAGATGAGACTGAGCCGGGCAGAACAGACGTCGGTACTTCAGCAGATGAAGTACCAGTGACAGTGGTGTCAGGCGAAAGAGATGTAGCAACCGACGCAGGAGTTGTTGCAGATGGTGCAGGAATCAAAGTAGTGGGTGGTGCCTCAGTGCATTTTGTGCAGACTGTTGCAGTGGAGGTGATAACAGTCTCTGAAACTGTCACCGAAGTAGTGATAAAAGTGCTTGAGCCCGAAGTGCTTGTGAGTGTGATTGGGCATTCCGTTGTGGTTGTGTAGACAATCTCGGTGGTCACCATCTCGGACGGTGCAGGTGGTAGTGCCGAGGTCCCTACAATGGCTTCTGAGCTGGCAGAGGATGCTAGTACATCAGTAGATGACTCAGGAACTGGGTCGGATGATCCTGGAACCGACGACGATGGCGCTGGGGTGAACCCTGGGAGGACAGATGTTGGAGTTGACTCGGCAGGAGCGGTCTTGGTCTCGGTTCCTGGTAGAGATGTCTCTGGGGCAGGCGCCGAAGTACCAGGAACGTCAGCTGAAGTTTCTGGAACCGGAACTGAGGTCTCCGCAGCGGGCACAGATGTCTCCGGCACAGCAGCGGAAGTTTCTGGAGCTGGGGACGAGGTCTCTGCAACCGGGGCGGATGTCTCCGGAACAGCAGCCGAGGTCTCTGGAGCGGGAGTGGATGTCTCTGGAACAGCGGCTGATGTTTCTGGCACAGCGGCTGAGGTCTCTGGAGCAGGAGCTGACGTTTCTGGAATTGGGACCGATGTCTCCGAGGCCGACGACGCCTCGGATGTGACTGGACAGGTCGTGGTGTAGGCAGCGGTAGTCATGGTAACCACTTTGATCGATGAAGCAGGGCAGTCTGGAACATCTGAAGAACACCCGTAGGTGGTAGAGGTGAAAGTGCTCCAGACCGTCGAGGTAGTCATGGGGACCGACGAGTCGATAGGAGTCGGTGGCGTTGTCGGAGATTCAACCGTCGAGGTAGAGGTTATTGGGAGGGTGCTAGAAGTGGTAGGTGCCACAACAGTTGACGAAGGCGACGACTCGGGTGCAGCTTCGCTACTGGTTGAGGCAGCTGATGTCTCAGCGACAGAGCTTGTCTCAACGTTAGGAACCGATAGTGTTGACTGGGCGGTAGAAAACGACTCAAGACTCGAAGCCAATGAGGAAGCTTCTGACGAGGGTGCTGTGGTCGAGGAGGTCTCGGCAGTAGTAGAGGAGGTAGTGGGTGTTGAAGCTGGTTCACAGTCGAAGCCGACGCTATGAATGCCAACGTCACAGTCATCATCGCTAGCATGTTCTGGCTTCTGCAAAGTCACCGAGACAGCTCCACCGCATTGATTGTTCTTGACATTACCGCCAGCCGCTGAGCATAATTCTGTATGCTTGCAAGTTGAGCCATCTGGCATGTCATAAACAAAGTCGATGTCGGTGTCATAAGATGTGGACACCTCCATGTCTGTGATAGAGAAGCCTGTGCCATCAGAACAAGAGATTTTGGGCGCGGCTTCAGCGTTTTTGCCGACTTTGCCCTGAATGTATTTACCCGGAGAGCCAGTGCGGGTAGTCAAGGAGCGGTTGCCATCCTCGCTTGAGCAATCGAAGCCCGAGAAATCAAATCCCTTGTAGGAATCAAAACTACCAATAGACAGGTCGGCCCAGTCGAATCCTGATTTTTGGTCATCCGTACACTCATTGTTGGTGTTTGCTGGATTAGAGAAGCTCTTGGCGCTGCCCCAGTTGTATGTTGCGGCAGCCTGCTGGGCAAGCACACAGGTGGCGACGATGCTTGGGGAGGTGAGCTTCATGACGAGAAGCGGTAAGTTGGATCAACGACTGGAAGAAAACAAGTGACGAGGACGAGCAATAAACGAATGTAGTCCAGCTATCACAACAGGGGGAAAACGAAAGACTTTCCAGCAGCGATCACGAGCGAAGTAAAGACGGACAGGAAGATGGGAGATGGAGGATGGAGGATGAATGCACTGCAGACGTGGGTAGGATCAAGCCATATGTAGGACAGACAGCCGCAGTCAACCCTGGTCCACAGGTAGCGTCGAGGAACCAGTGGGATAAGCCTACCTGCAAGTTGAAGATCTCCATATTGAGTGTAGGTCCAGTATTGGATCAAGAGCTGTTAAAGAAGGAGAAAACGATTGGTTGTGGGTGTCGGATGCCTACATGAGAGCTGTGAAAGGAGTTGGGTGGGTCCTGTTGAGCGGCTCCGGCCTCGTCTCTGAGCACACTGTGAAACGACAGGACAAGGCTTTCCACCAACCGCAGCAAGCGTCTGACATCTGCTAATGCAGGTACCGCTTGCGGGTTCGTCATGGTTAAGCTTTCACACTGAGCTTGTCCTGCCGCTTGAGCATCATTGTTCCAGAAGCTCCTCGCTAATTTTGAGACCGGAGGACCCTGCAAGGAGCCCCAGAAGATATTGACTGGAAAGTCTCCTACGGACCAGGATTGGCCATCGCCCATCGCTCAACCACAAAGACGTCTCCTTAAACCTCCTTCTTCTTCGTGCGAACCCTTGGTTACACCAAATTTGGTCCGCTGTCCGGGATGATCGGTGTTGGGTGTGGGATCCATGACTCAAGCCTGTAAGTGGGCGATGTGACAGATTGTTCAGTGGCGCCGGTTGCCTAGTTTAAGGTTGTGGTTATGGAAGGTTGGCTAAATTTACTCCTCAGGAGAAAGAAGTGAAACGCGCGAGTAAAAGAGAGCTCAACTTCAACCTCGGCTGCAAAGCCCGTAAGCGCTTAAAGAGGCAGCAATTAGCCGTCGCCAACAACCACCAATAGTAATGATGATTACATCATATATCGATATCCAGACGCTGTGTCTAAATGAAGCGTTGCCGGTGTGATTGTCTTCTTCGTCTTCTTCGTCTTCTTGTGCTTGAACTTAACATTCGACTTCATTGACGTAGCAAGGCACGCAACTACTCGCAAGGCTCTAAATCTGGCGCCAAGCAGGTTCTTCGGTCCTGTTGGGAGGCCCCTGAAGGACACAGGACTAACTAGTAGTATATCCACATCAACTAGTAGTACTGGTCGGCCAATGGACGGATGAACATTCAGTGCGCCCTATAGGCTTCGGAGTCCTCCCAAGTGGAGTTGTCCTGAATCACCTACGCGAGTAACGTAAGCTCCCCTGGCTGGAATGATGCTGTCCATCTACAGAAAGGGAACACTCCAAGTGCAGGTACTGGTACCGTACCAGGACCAGGCAACCACCATGAATCCCCCCAGGAGTATTCGGGCTTACTAACGTAGTCCAGACACAAGGGACATTCGCACATATAGACATGTGAGGCCTGACAGACATTCCCAAAAGATTTCTGAACTGTTATCTAGTGGTAGCTACATCTAGGAGACCCAGAAAACAACAGAGGGAACACAGAGAACCACATTGATATGTACACACTCCTCTTGCAGCTTTCGGCGCCATCAACGCCTTCGCTAGCAGCCAGTCATCGTGCAACGGAACGAAGCTTGGTCTTTTCCAGAACCAAAACAAAAAAGCTAGAGCAAAATACAGCTCAGCCAGAGAACAATCAAATCCCGGCCCATAGCATAACAGGCTTTCGAGTCGGCAAGACGCCTTTCTCACGCAGAATTGTAAAAGGAAAACAGGTATAACAGCTAAACGGAACAGCGATCAATACTCACAACCCGGTCAAGTGAAACTTGCACCATATCTTTCACGTGGTCATCTTGCGCCGCTTTGATACATTGATGACCTTCCTCTCCACAGGAGTAACGTCTCCATAGATTTTCTCGTCTTGATATGGGGTGCTGCTGGTCTTGCGTTTGTGTGAGGTGGTTGGGATCCGCACCGGCACTGCTGGTAGCGCAAAGGTTGAATCTGCAATCGGAGACATTTGCACATCATACGAGTACGAGGTGCCAGTACGAGTAGCAGATATTGGATCGGCACTTCGGCGAAACGCCGTGACATTCATATTGTTCAGATGCCCAAACAAAGCATCGTTATCACCTGTCAGGTTATCGTCCGCAGGCGCATATAATGGTAACTCAGATTTACCATCATCAGATTCATCGTCTCCCAAATCCTCTAGGAACTCATGAAGAGGGAACCCAGGCTTCCGCGTAATCGGCATAGCCTCGTCGTCGTACACATCGGATTCCGGTTCAGGCGAGATGGCATAATCACCGCCAACAAGTTGAAGTCTATTAGAGTAGAAGGCTTCCGGCGGCCCGACTGTCTGACCATGATCACCCTCTGCAATTGAGTTAATGCTGTTGAGGCCTGCCATCATGACATCAGGGATAGCAGTGTTGATGATGACCCCAGTCTTCGCTGACAGAACACCGCTTACTGACAACCCTTGTTGTTGTAATCTCAGAGATGGATTTAGCGGACTTGCGCTGTTGGAAGGAGTCGAGGTGGACTGCGACATCTCGTCGAGCCAAGCGTGTCGATTGGTGTTTGCTGCCGGAATCTGAAGTATCTTCTTGCCGGTCGAATCTAGGATTGCCCAACTCTTGTCTTGATCAACGGTGAAAATGCCTCGGGGTGGACCCCTCCTGCGGCGAGATGATCGTTTTCCGTTCTTGCCAGAGCTGACATTGGTAGGGGTGGAAGGTGTTGCATGTTCGGCCTCTAGGGTAGTACCATTGGTGACACTGGTGGTGCGTGGAGGGGGGGTCGGTGGCCCGCTGAGCACTTCTGTAGCATCACCTGCAAAAGAACATTAGCAAAAGGAGAGACGAATGTAACATTCCTGATACATACTATCGTATGCTTCTTCGACTGTCGTTGTGACCTTGTGTTGGGAGGTCTGATAGGTATTGCCTGGGGCGTAGATATGATTTTCGTGCTCAAATGGCATGGCAGATGGAAGAAGGGCTCTGGTAAGCGACGGCGAGATAGACTTTCCATATGCGTTCATCTTTTCAACATCTGACCCAAAATGAACATGCCGTTCAGGAACGGTAGAGAGATCACCATCTTCGGATGGTGCTGAGAAATCACCAGAACCATCACCCGAGTCAATGTCGTCGCCAAATCCATAGGCAGAGAGGCCATCAACTTGATCAAGAATGAAGTCTGCTTCGTGCTCGGGGTCTGGGAAAGCGAAAGTAGAACTTGATTGATCTATCACAAAGCTTCCAGCAGCACCAGCACCAGCACCATTGGGCTGGAATAATCCTTCACTCTGGTCGTCTTCATCGGAGATGTCATCAACAGCTCGATAAAATTCGTCGTCATCCTCATCGTCCTCGATTACTCCTCCAAAGAGATCGTGAGGGTCCTCGTACATGATGGGATCCTCACTATGAAACATACGCCTGTATTCGGCAAGACGCCCCGCCTCGTGGATCGTCTGCTTCTTCTGTCCACGAGACGGGGCAAATGCCGCTGGCTGGTCACTCTCGTCGTCCCCGTCGTCATCTTCATCTGACTCGTCGTCATCATCTTCGTCATCTGCGACCTCATCGTCTGAGCTTTCATTTTCAGTCCCTGATTCCGTCGTTCTTCTTTGTGTTTTGTTGGCACGGGCAAGCACGGCTCTACCATGCGCTTTCTTGGGGATACGACCCTCCGGGTATCTCTCAATTGCCTTGGGAATATTTTCCATTTCATCGAGGTTCGCCATAACCGAACGAGTCAGGCGCACTGGCGAGGGTAAGAGTGGGGATCTCCCACGAGAAGAAACAAAGTGAGCTCGGCGCGACATGGTAAATGGAGTAAGTGCCAGTTAAGGCACAATCCTCGGCTGTTGGGATAAAGCGGTGAGTAGAGGAAATGAGAGGAAACAAATATGGATAGATGGTGGTGGAAGGGTAGGACGTGAGGAACGACTGCACCTCACGCCTTCAAGCAACGTGAGGTCTTTTGAGGTGTACTGAGGCGCAATTTCGAATGCCGAGTAGCAGGCTCTCGCGCTCTTGAGCACTCGAAAGAGAAAAATATCGTCGAAGTCGAATTGAAATACTCGTTGGGCTGGCCGGAACTGGAGGGAACGAGGTACTCGCAACCCCTCCAGCTGGAGGTTTACAGCCCAGCGACTGCCATCTGGCTGTATCCTTCGACGATATTTGGGTTATTGAGGACTTCTATGCTGTTCTAAGGTGTACTGGATTTGTGCTGGTGGCTGTTACTGGTGTTATTGAAGAAGAGAAAAGGCAGAGGAGCGGTTCAAAGATCTTTCTCAGGCCCGCAGAACATCCATCCCGCACTAAAAATTTGGCCGGGTTCCCATTGGATTGATACAGCGGTGAAGAGTCACGGCCTGAGTCCTACAGGGTACTGCCTTTTTACTATACGCCATTTCCTCCTCTCGCTTCATGGCTCACATTCCTATTCGCTCCGGATCTTTGGTAACATCTCTTGCATGACTCACTGGCTGCAGCAGTTGGAATATTGGGCCTGGGGCGTCTCGGGCTCACAGCACACGACACTTAGAGCGCACCCATCAATCAGCCTTTTCCTCATTTAATACCCGGTCAAGCTGACATCATATAATTCGTGTTGTCTGATTATACATCTTTTGTTTGGTACACTGCCTGGGCGGTCATGAGCTAGCAGCACTTTGCATATGCTCTTCTTCCGCCATCTCCGCTCCCTCAAGGCTGCAAATTTGAAGATAGAGGTTCTCCCACATGGGCACGATGATGGCAGTAGGTCCGATCTTCAAGTCGTTAATGACCAATCGTCAACAGTACATGTCGCAAGCAAGTCTATTTTGTCCTTCCCACTCTTTTTTTTTTGTGCGATTTCCAAGCGCTAGGCTTTAGTGAAAGTGACTAGCTTTTGCCAAGGATATTAGCCGAACCCTTTTGCCTAGTTTTGACCCGCTTGTTGCAGTCTCAAATGTGATGAGTGAGGCAGATCTACCCGTACGATAATCAAAAGAGACGCCAGTCGCAGAAAACTCTCGGCACATGTTTAGGTTCTAGGCTTGGTGGCTTTCCATCAGCTACAAACTATTGAATTAAAGCTGAATACTCCGTACTGCCGCAGGCTTAAGAGCTCGTGACCACGATACCGTTGCGGAGAGCAAATATATTCGAGTAATCTTTACACAACTTCCGAAAGCCCCTTACTTGCTGAAAAGAAAAAAATTATTGACAGCCTCTGCGTCCTCGTGCCACTAGATTCATGGAAAGAAATTCAGGTACCAACCTTCTCTGCTGGTTGAACAGTCGTGCCCAAGACGGACGGATCTACATCGTCCTCCAACCCATCTTCCGCAGCTGCTTCGCGGGCCACCTGGGCTTCTATTATGCCCTGCTGGACTTCTTCCAAAGGTGCTCCTTCAGGTGCTGTCGTGGTAAGATTGCCGTCTGGATTCAATGCACGATATTCGGCATCCAATCGAGCTTCTTCTTCCTCTGTGAGTCGCCTTTCCTTCTCCAGCCTAACTTCCTTGCCACGTTTGTGGCAGTACCAGAAGACGAAGAGCAAGACTGGGTGAATTAGCGATGTTAACCTTCAGCAAGAAAGGCAGTACTGCTTACCGAACAAGGCCAAGGACCACAGCACATTCATCCCTAGAAAAGCCGGAAATCGAGCTCTAAGAAAGGTGATAATGGTTCGCATCGTTGAAGCAATTGTTCCCGGATTCCCAGCAATGTCTTTCAAATTTGGAGTTTTGAAACCCTTCTTCTTCTTCGCGGCACTAGCTGGCTCCTTTGCCTTTGCAGTAGTGGTGCCACTCTTTTCCACCTTCTGTGCCGCAGCTGCCATTAGCTCTGGTGCAATGGTGTCTTTCATCTTGTTTGGCAGCTGCGCTATCAACTTCTGCAGGAACGTTGGCAGGTGATTGAATGTCTTCTGCAATTGCTGATCACCATTGGTGAGTAGCGATTCTAAATCGTCATATGCGGTAGGAACCCCATTGACAAGATCCTTGAAGACCTGGTTGAACTTCTGCAAGAGCTCCTGCGTTTCCTCACTGATTGAAAAGACACGATTGTTGACTGCGGCAAGATTGAGCTTCTCAAGCACCATTGCCATGTCGTCCTGCTCTTTCTTCGCTTGAACCTCACTGACAATGTTATCTTCATTTGGTTGCGCATCGGACGATTTTACGCCTTCAGCGATGTGCATGAGGCTTTCTGCTGCATCTGTCTGATTCTAGATACGGGTCAGGTAATGTCTCGTCGTCCAATAAGAGTCCTTGCATACCTTGCTTTTGTGATCTCGACTGTCACGGCGAAGCCAGCTCCAGGTCTTCTTCGCGGATTTCTTCTCAGCACCTTTTTCTGACCCAGCGATCGGATCCCGCATAGGCTCCGGCTCTGTGGTGTTCTCCTTTGGAGTCTCAGGCAGCGCAATATTCTGGGCATCATCCAGTAGTGCTAGCTGCGCATCATTGCCCTGAGTTTCCCCAGCTACTGGGAGATCTTGGACCTGAGGCCTGGCTGGTAAAGGTGGAGGTTGTTCATCATGTGAAGTTATGCGATTGAGGAAGTGTTCATCTTCTTCGGTTAGGACTGGGTTTTCGGACTTCTTTGCAGTGCCAATATGGGCCTTGCTCTTGACGTAATTGATATACTCCATTGCCGCAGCGATTAAACGGAGGTAGCGACGTCTATATTGGTGGCAGCCTAGAACAGTACTCCATAGTAATGATATGAAGGTTAACCGATGAGCAAATCAATAGAAATGTCCTTCAAGAAGGTGGGGTGCTCTTGACAGCTTGAAATGCATGCGCCACAACATCGTCATCGTGGCACAACACCAGAATCTAGTGCCTCGGCATGTCGAGCATAGCGTCACCGCTTGAAGTTACTTTCTTGCGTCTGTGACCCCACTTGCGGTTGTACGCCTTATCCCCTCCGTGCCCGATGTGCCAATTAGCTTATTCTACATAAATTTAAGCTCAGATAAGGTTGTGTACAAGACCTCTTCTGTCACTTATCAACGCATCTATGTGTTCAAATTAGATAATTTAACAAGATTCAGAAAGATGTATTGTTAAAGACATTCCTTCTCAAAAAGCTGCTCGAATAACCTGCTTGTGCAGAAGTTGTAACAACACCAAATGAAGAAGATCTACAGCGCTAATTGACACATTCTACACCCCAGTTCGGGCACGGAGGGGATAGCACTAACATCCCCTTTCATGAAAATATAGGATTACGAGTTCAGCTGGACGACAAGCCATTAATCAAGTAACGGCCATACTCAAGGAAGTCTGGAATATCAACTCGAGTGCCTTCCCAGCGACTTTGCTCCCATCACTATTGTGGTACATTCATAGAAGATGATAACCTGGTAGTTGATGTCCTAGCCTTTCAGATGATTCAAGTCACTCGTGGGTCCATGGGTTTGATTACCGGGGAGGCGAGCGACACTTCACGATATATTAGGCTATCCATCAACTCATGTGCAGAGGGTGTTTGCAAGCCTGTTTATCGTGTATGTGGTCAAGAATATGATTTTCTATCGATCCTTTCCATTAGTTTATCAGTCTGTCTTGCTCAGCGATCTTATGCGCTGGTGACAGTCCGGAGGTATTCCTTCCTTTTTCACCCTAACATTTCCCCAAAGTGACTCATTAGCGCCCTCCAGGCATAACATGTGTATCAATGAACAATCATTCTAGGCTGATGTTGAAACACAAGATAATGAACACTTAAATGGATCGCAGCTTTGCGTGTCTTCAAGTATCTAAGTTGCGCATCTACTACGATTCACAAGCACAAAATTCTACAATCACCTTTGCTACAGCTTCTACTTTGCTACAGCTTCTACTTTGCTACAGCTTCTACTTTTCCATCATCACAGCGTCCTGCGCAAAACTCCACCACTTTCCCCATCTTTATCTATCAGCTTCTTTCTTTGAATATCCACCATGGGTAGAGCTTCGGGTACGACCAAGGCTCCGAGCGAGTCTCCCAGCCCAGTCACACCTCAACCCAAACGAAAGCGAGTTGAAAAGCCACGGGTGGCCCCCGCTGAATACGATATCCCCTACTTCGCTCACATGCAACTGAATCCCGCGCGATACCCTGTCAGTAAGCTATACCATCTCTCTTTGCTATGATAGTAAGAGGAGGGTCCCGCGGCGGCCTCCTGCTGTATATCTCATAGCCCTTGCCCACGTCTCATTCCAATCTTATTGAACATATGGATAATCTTCTTTCTAGCTGTTGGGGCTCCTGTTGGCCAACCGCCATTCGAGCCTGCGCCATATGGTGGTCATAGAGCGAAGAAGTCAATGAAGGAGGATGCAGAGGATGACTCCGAGGAAGAGGATTCCGAAAGTTCCGAAGAGGAAGTCGTCTCACTGGTAAGTGTAGTTGTGCACTTACATCTGTTATAACAACACAGTCCTCTTCGTCACAACAAGTTGCATATCTATTTAGCTTTGATCCGAAGCCCGACCACAGGTCGCTGATACCAACCGTAGAAGCGCAAAGCACTTGCCATCAGCCCACCTCACAACGGTTTCAGTGGATCTGATTACAAAAAAGCCAAGATGGCAGGAGGCCGTCCTGCTCTCGCCAAGAAAGTTACCGCACAGATGGATTCCGATGACGAGCTCATCGTCCAAATGAAACAAGCCAGATACCAAGAAAAGGATATTGCCCAGCGGTTGATTGATGAAGGTCGAACTCATTATCACCCCAAGACCATTGGCACCCGATGGGCACGTCTGAAGAAGGTCATGCAGGTACGCAATGATGAACTGCTTGATCAAGATCTTACCGACTGGCACGAGGGAGACGTATGTCCAAGCACTCAACGAATGTCCCACTCTATGGTACTGATAGCGTCCAGGATGAGGTTCTTGCAGAAGCCATTGCAAAGGCAGATGCCGAGGTCGAGAAGCTCAAGCAAGAGATTGCCGCAAAGAAGTGGCGCATGGTAGCGGACAAAATGAAGTCTATCAAGGTGAGTGCTATCCTCAAGCAAACTCTACATGGCTACTAACAGTGACCTCTCCAGCCCGTAGTCAACTTCTCCCAGAATGCATGCCGCAAGCGTCATGAAGACTTGGAAGCCGGAACAGCCAAGCCTACGCCCGAGAGTGTTCCAGACCCAGATGACGAGGTCAAAGCACGGATTCAATCTCGATTGGACAAGGAAGAGGCTATCAAGAAAGCGGCTCGCTTTACCACACACCATCAGAACCTGGACAACAATGCCTGGACGTCAAGGATGCGTCAATACTAGTAGGGTGGCTTCGCAATCGAGGAAGCTTCCTATGATGTGAAACCACTCGTCAGCGAAGAGGACACCGAGTTATTTTGCGAGTGGAGGAGCGCTGGTAGGCACCCAGTATCGCATGTATGACACGAACATGCGGGCATGGGAAGCCAGACTCACCAAGTCTGCGGTGATCTGACAGGAAGAGCTTTAAGGAAATTGATGTTGTTATTACCCTTGAGATCGAGGAATCATGTCATGTCAGATTAAGCTTCGGTCGTGCGCAGCCAGACAAATCATGTTCACCTAAGTTTCCCCCGTGTCTGTACGTTGCTACCTTGAGTATCAGCGTTCCAGATGGACGCTCGTATCGACCCCGTCTCCCGAAAAACCACACTACCATTTAGATAGCCCACCACTTCTCAGTTTCCCGAGCCTGGTAGAAATGGTTGTCGACAGAATGCGGTGATTGGTATGGTCTCAATGCAAATACCTGGTCCTGTTCTGTAGAGAATCCCCTACTTAGATGTCTCTGATGATAACCCATCGCCTCTCCCACAGGCAACGACGCATGATGTCTGCCAGGAGCAGAAGAAACCTTTAAGACAGATGCACTCGTCTGGAAAAAAGGATGAACTGATTTCATATCGAAAACCTTAGAAGGCTGATATATCGATCGTCCGATTAGGTATAGGTCAGATATTGGCTCTTGTACATCTGCCATGCTTGCAGCCCGCGCTGGCCAGCATCACGCATGTCTTTTTGCTCAACACTTTCTTGTATCGAAGTTTCGCAGTCTCACTTGTAGTCTTCTGTAATCAATTTGAGTAAATGGTATGTTGTTGAATGTAGAAAATTCTAAACTCAGGAGCTTCACTTGCTAAGCGCACCACTGGATCTGTCAATGGGGCCTCGGTTGCAGAGCAAGGCGAGTTGCCATATCATGCATGCCTAGTAAAGCGAAAGTGGTGCAGTGTTGTGCGGCTGAATGGCTCAAAGCATGGGATTGGTAGTGTGTGTGTGTAGGAATCTAAAATACAAAGCTCGGAGGAAATAGCACCATAGGCGCCAAGGCCCGAAGCTTGGCGCCAAAATTCTGTGCAGTTAAGGATTCTGCATTTCTATCTACTCCCTCTAATAGGGTATGGCCTTCCCAGAGCGCTCTTGCAAACAAGTTACTCTATCTGGCATGGTAGAGATAGCATTGTTGATCTCCTTAATGTTGATTTTATCTTATTCCTCTTAGATAACAGCCTTTAGTGCCTTAGTTTAGAAGATGACCCCTTTATTCTTTAAACGCTGCTTAATAATGCGCTAAATAGTCTTAATAGAGTTAAGATCTAGCGAATTAAAAGGCTAAGCTTATTATTTAATATTAAGCATAATCTTAGCTTGCTTAGCCTTATTATTA